GGTCCCGCTCCCCCCGGGGCTGCACCCACCGTTGCTGCAGCTGCTGTTCGTCTCCAGCGGCTCCATCGCCTCCGTGCTCCGGGCGCTCAGCGCATCCCGAGGGCACAGCCGGGCTGGGCAGGGCAGGGCCGGGCCGGGCCGCCCGCACACCTGTGCCCGCCCGGCTCCTCCTTCCTCCGGGAAGGGCCGGCCCCTCCATGGGCTCGGAGCAGCGACAGCAACACCCGGGCGAGCTTTGCAATGCCCCCCGGGGACCGCCACCGCTCCCCGCAGCCCTTGTGCCCTGTCCCCATCCCCATCCTCGTCCCCCGCCTGCCCGGGGGGGGCAGCTGGGGGGGTTCTGTTCCTTCCCACAGATCTGGGATGAGGCTCCTGCCAGGGTTTCTCCTCTGGAGTGTATTTTCCTTGTTGCAGCGGTAGGAGAAGGTGCCGTGGCAGCCCGAGCGTGGCTCGGGGGGTTGGGGTGAGCCCAGGCGCAGATTTAGGGGACCTCGGTGTGCGCTGAGCGGGTCGTGCGCGCTGCAAAGCCGGGGGGCTTCAAACGTGCGCAGGGTGTGGTGGAACAGAAATTAAGGGTAAACAAGAGAAATGTTAGTGGCAGTGTTAGGTTAATGGTTGGACTTGATGAGCTTAGAGGTGTTTTCCAGCGTAAAAGTTTTGGGCGCCACAATGTATGAAGGATGTAAAGCTGTTAGAGTGCATCCAAAGGAGAAGATGGTGGAGGGTCTCAAGAGGACGTTGTATTGGTCTTGTTTTTTTCAGCTTGGAGAAGAGGATACTCTATCAACTGCCCTTCCCACGGCAGCCGAAGCCTCCCTTGCTGATGGTAGTGTGTGAACGTTTCAGAGTGTGTTGCACACCAGTGTGTTTTGCCTTCATCCTCACCCTTCTCTGCCGACCTCCCTCTCTGCGTTTGTGCTCGGTGGCCGTGTGTACACAGAAACCTACTGCCGATACAAAAGCCCTTTCGGTGCCATTAGCCAGGTTTTGCTATAAGTCACGAGAGATAAGGGAAACCAGTAGAAAAACAATAGGAGCAAGCCCACATTTATAGGTAGAAATGATCATAAAGATGTAAGATTTGCAGGATCTGAAGATGTCTGAAAAATTGCTTTTCTTTTTTCCCCATAAACTAAATTACTTGTTAAGAGAGAAATTGCCTTTAGACCATCAGGCTGCAGCATTGCTAACGCCTCATGGCTCCTTCACTCAGCGCCTGATCCTATCTCTGAGCAACTCTTTTCTTCAGCGAATGTAATGCTCAAGTGCTTTGTGAGTCATTTGATTTTAATCAGGTCTGTTCATCCATCACAGTCCTGCGGGTCACTGGCTGGGAGAGACTGTGCCAGCCAAATCCCATGTCCTCCCCTTTATCACAGGGCACTTGATAATCAATCCTAATCATTTGGCAGCAGGTTTTGAAGTAGGAAATGAAATGTGCTAATTTTTCACTGTTCTGGGAGCAACTTCTGCTGCTGTTGTATATTAGGCAGGCAAAAGGGGCAAGACCCTGGGCGAGACAATGATGGCAGGATTTGACGTCTATTTAGTAAATTTACTCGCTGATATTAATTAAAAGCTATTCATGCAATGTGTGAATATGAAGCTGGTTGCAAAAACCAGTGTGATGGTGGAGTGGGACAAGTATTTGCTGTGTTTGCAGTGCTGACTGCCTGCACTAGCTGGGGAATTTGTGTCCCCCTATCCCTGCACAGGCTGCCCCACCCGTTTGCTCTGGTGCTCTGTGGGGCTCTCCCCTTTGCTGGACCTTTTCCAACGCCCTGAGGTCTTGCTTGTAGCTGGGGAGTCCTAATTGTGATGTGATTATTGGCAGTTAAACTCTGTCCAAAATAAATTCCAAGCTATTGCGGGTGAGTGTTGTTATCCGTGCAGAGCACGGTTGCCCACTGTGCACAAAGAGGGGTGAGGGAGGGAGCTAATTTTTATGGAAGAGATCTGAGATTAAAATAATCCTTTTGGTCATGGTGCAGACTCATACATTACTGCCACAGCATGGTGCAGTTAAAAGCAATAGGCACTTCGGGCCACAGCTTTGCCTTCCCCTGTCAGCTTGATTTCCTAAAGGAAAAGGCTAATGTGACCACATACATGTGTATTTATGTACTTCCCTTCATCCCCAAAGATATTTGATGCTGTGGACTGACTTTTGCCAGATTTGACAAGGGGTGAGACCTCCAAAAGAAGCCATTCTAAATTCTGGGAAGAGAGACATGACAGGTAAGAGGTCCCAAAAGGAGTGGACACTGCAGTGTGAGCTGACTCTTATCAGATACCAGGGAAGGAGTGTGCCCAGTTGTCACCACTGTGGGAGAAATTTCAGTCAGATCCTGTAATCAACCACAGACACAGGTGTGTCACATATTTCTTTCTCTTTGGTGCAGGGGCTGTGGGGTGCAGTGCATAAAATCACAGAGTCAAAGGAGTTGCACTTGATGGAATTAGCAAGGCTGTGTATGGCAATATGGGAGTTAAAAGCCAGGTAGGATTGGCATGGAATTGCCTTCTACGCTCAGTCAAGGGCAAGTTGAGACTGATAACAATAAAGCAGGGGTGCAGCCAATGCCTCTTTTATTGCTTCATATCCTCATTTTAATGGGAAGGCTATAATTAAGGGAATTCAGCTCCAAGCTATGACCTCACTGGTTGATACTCACATCAGATGCTGCCTTAAAAATAACTCATCAGAAATCAGGGAGTCTTCCATAGCAGCTCATCTTCTAACAATGCAGTTCCTCCTGAAATACTGGTTTCCAGGCCAAAAAAACTTGATTGGAATCCAGGGGGCAGAGCAAGACAGCTTTGCATGCAAATAACCTCTTTAGCAACATCAAAAGGCTTTTCTTTGCCCTGCTCTTGTCTGCTCCTCTCTTCTATTCTGGAAAAATGATGGAAAAATACTGGGTATCAACTGTTCTGTATTAAAAATAATGGTGGAAGTATTGTGCTAACAGGTGATGGAAACTTTTGCCCTCGGATGTCTGCTAGGGATGGTTCCTGTGGAAACTTTCTGAACAGGATTGCAGCATTCTGCTCTGGCTTTGTACAGTTTTAGGGCTCTGAGGAGCCATTTGCTGCTTCAAAGACAGGGTAAATCCTTTTTCTGGCAATGACCTGATAGTGTAAGGGTTAAAGGAATTGCCTGCTGTTGGATGATTGCAGCACTACTTGAAAGGATGCTCGAGGCTTGAAAGACTGAACTTAGTTGAGCAGACAGCTTTAATTCAGCCTATTTCAAGGTAACTGTGTCCACAGTGGCTGAGGCTGACATTTGGTGCTATAAGGGTTTAGACACCACCAACAGGGAGAGTTCCCAAGCCAGTCACACCCATGGTGGGTTCCCACTCTTGTAGAACTGCCTTCCCCATGCCAGTGCATGTACCTGTGTGTCTGGGCTGAGGGGCTGCTGAGTGATCCAGGGTCATGAGGCCATAAAACACACCCCAGCTCCTTTCTCCCAGGGTTGCTAAATATTTTATCCAGATCAGTTCAGTGATCCAGGTCACTGTGGCCCCATAAAGCATGTATGTTGTCAGAACAGGAGTGGTGGGTTGGTGATGGATGGGAGCTGGTGCTCAGCGGGCATCGGAGCAGCAGTGGGTGCCACGAGGTGAAGTGACATGCAATCAGCAGATCGTTTGTTTGCAGACCTCTTATCTGCCAGGCATTTGCATCAGAACTCTAAATCAAGCAAAACTAGAAATGAAAGGCACTCCTGGCTTGCAGAGGGGTCACAGAAAGGGTAATTTTGTTAAGCTTTTGAAAGAATAAAATAATCATTAATGAACTGTTCTTAAAATGGGTGAAGTGCCTTTAATCTGAAGATGTAAACATATTTAGGAGCACTAGGAAGAAGATGTGGGCCTGTATTTTTGATACTGGTTGTTCAAAATTCAGAGTCTTGGACCCTGACACCCAAACCAAAAATTGCTTCTGGCTCCAGGTGAGACCATGTGAGCTCTCAGCTCTTCTTAGGGCTGGTGTAAGAACTGGGGTGTGCATGACACAGCAGCTAAAATTAGTTTAAAAAAAAAAAAGAGAGAGAAGTCTTGATGGAAGAAAGAATGAAACCACGGATCAGTGGCTGAGGCAGGAAGAAAGTCCTGCTCTCCTCTCTGCCATTCCCTGCAGAACCATGTTGAAATCAGTAAACATTGGGCAACTTTCAGCCATTGGGCAAACAGTTCTGCACAGCAGGATGCCACCCACAAAGCTGCAGCACATCCTGACTTAAAGCACATTGGAAAGATCAACAGAGCTGCCTGGTCCTGGTGTAAAGTTCACTTCCAATTTTATGTGAAGAATCATTGCATTTCTATTCCTCTTAAGCTAAGCAGCTGTTCCCATGAGGAACCTTGGGAAGAAGCTATGAAATGGAACATCAATTACAGTGTTTAATCTAGAGCTGAGCACAGGAGCTCCCACTCCCATAGACCCATGACAGTTGTTTCACCTTAATTCCTCAGCTCCCAGAAAATCTTTTCCCCTCAGTTCCCACTCCTTCTGCAGTCAACAACTGCAGCTGATCTTTGGATGCTTCTAACACAAAACTAAGAATGGTTTCAAATGGAAGTTTGGGAAAATAGTAGCAAGGAGCATCTCCTGGAATAAAAAAGGCCCCTGTGGAGTTGACAAGGCTATGGTAATGATAGGAAATTAGCTCTCCTCAGTTTAGCTTTGTTTTCAGTAGAGCCTGTCAAATTGTATTAAAAATAATTATATAATTTTCCCTCCACTGACTGCCTAATTAGAAAACAAGTTTTCATATAAATATTTGTTGTGCCAGGAAATTTTTCTCTAAGATCATTAACTTTTTGATAGGAAAATATGTCTGTTCTGTGTTGACCAAAATGCCTCATTTTTTTTCCTTTGGTTTTGACAAAAGCTCAACATTTTTATCAACTTAGATTTTCCTTTGTGCCAGGTGCAATTGGAGGCTCTTCCTAAATAACAGATATCACAATGACGATAACACCACAAAGTAAAGTCTGCCCATTTCATGAATGAGCCCAATTTTTATTTCTCTTCATCACAAAAGTCATCCCACATTTGTTGTACACACTGTTGGTTGCTGTGTTACGGGACATATCACCAGGTACCAGATGCTTTACTCTTGCAGAAGCACTTCTAATGGAGATGGAAGCTTCTGTTGGCTGTATTTCAGAACAACAGCAAAAAATACAAAACCAAAATATCATCTTCAGCTGCATAGCAAATATGGATCAAAAATTTAACACTGTATCAGATCACAAGCGTAAATATACCTCACCATAAATAAAATTCATTGTACAAAATAACTCAAGCAGCTTTTCATACAAATATGGTACATTTGACAACAGTTTTGGAGAATATTTTCTTGGTTTTTTTTACACCTTCAATTCTTTTTTCTTTTTTTCTCAAACATACACGAACCTACTGGACTGGAGTAATGCAGGAGAAAAAGGACTAACGTTGTTCAATGCTACTAAGTGCTGTCAGAGTTTAAAAGCAAAACCATTGAAGTGCTGAGCTTGAACTAGTTTGCTTCCTCTTTCTGTTGTAGCATTGAAAGTCAAGTGTAGCATCATTCCAGAAAAGCGTGTGCACTGCCAATAGTCACATTTTATAATGGCAAAGCCAGGGGGAACATTAAAATAACCTAGTCTGATTTCATTAATGACACAGGCCATCCTTTCTCCCCCCCCGTAATTCCTGCGTTGAGCCAACAACTTGTCTTTGAAGTGGACATTCCAAGTGGTGGCTGGTAGATCCCAGGGAGTTTGCAGACTACTTCAGCATAAGGAGGAAAATATAGGTAAAAAAGCAAGTCCATAGTCACTGGACTTGGAAGTATTCAGACAGGGGGCAACATTTCCCTAGGAAAAGAACATTAGGGGTCTCCAGATTATAAAAGGCTGAAAACTACAGGATTGGAGCATATCTGCAAGGAAGACACCCAAATTTGGCAGAACGTCTTCAAGTGTGGAGAATATGCCCAAACCTGTGGCAATCTGTTACTATTTATCTCTACTGTCACAATTTGCTCCCTATTTCCATTAACAGTGATGACATTAAAAAAAGGATGGAGGAAAAGAAATCCATTTTCACAGAGTTGTTTGAAGACCTAAGCCTGGACCTCTTTCTTATACACAGTCAAGGAGGATGAAAGAACTGAAGCTAAAGACTATCTCAATCCTTGAGATAATCAAAGGACAGTAACATCAAATCTCAGAAATTAAGACCATAAGATTATTCCTAGCTGATATCTCATATGACTTGAGCAACAAGGCAAAACATCTGCATACACTCTACAGTCAAAACACTTTACATTTCATTCATGCACTTTGACATTTTGGTCAAAATATTTAATCCCTTTGAATCTGAAGGGATTTTACATTTTTGCCAGCAAATCCAAGGGCAACAAATAGATTTCATCTACCTGTTCTTTCACGTACGTGCAATGGTGTTTTGCAGGGTTTCAGGAACCATTATGGCAAAACTACAGCAAAAGAATGCAAAGAGTTTTACAGGTTTAGGTGAAATATCTCACAACTCACTTCAGACCTAAACAGATGAAAACAGGCATTTAAATTCACCTGACTACATCCCATTTTGTAGATAGCTGAGACCGGGCCATTTGGTACAGTTCATCCTTCTGTAGCAACCTCTTGCTCATGCTGGTCTCTGGAAAGACTCCAACATCCCATAATAACAGATGCAGTAGGACATTTAATTTGTGCTGTGCCTAGAGGTGGCTCTGAGAGCCAGATAGGGACTTGTGCCACCTTTTCAGCAACACTTTCATACCAAAATAACAAGCACTTACTATTTAGGTCAGGAAAAGCTGGATCTTCGTTGGATCTATCTTCCTTGTATCTTGTTTTCCACAAAAAATAAAGTGCTTGATTCTCCTCTTCCTTTTAAAAATATATATCTTTAAATAGCCTCACTCCAGTAGTGTAGAAGTGTTGGAACATGATGGAAAAACAGAACTGACATCCTTAGTGGAAGAGTAAATAGAGAGCAAGGGCCCTGTTAGTGTCAGCAAGTTCCAGATGCTCTTCTGCTGCTCTTCCTCACAACACGGAGGAACCAACTCGCCTTGTTGGGCTGGGTCCTTCCCCGCCACTCCAGGATTTCAGCCAGACTTCCTGAGATTTCAGTTAACTTTCAGGTTACTGTGCTGCACAATTTCATCCCTGCAGTTGAAATGTCTGTCTCAGTAATTAAAGGAATGTCAAGGTGTGAAAATGTCCAGCACTTGTCATGTGTGGGGTATTTATTGATTTCCATGGGAGTAGGTGATGAAGGTCCAAGAGAAGAAATCCATCCCACCCAGCAAGATCATCTCTCGCCAACAGTAGTTTGGCTGTTGTTTCCTAAGACAAAATACTGCAGCTGGGACATTCCTACTAATTAATTCTATGTTCCTTCTGAGAGAATTAACGCCCAGGCTCTGCCTTTTAACATCTGTAACAGCATACAGTTTACAAGGCCTGATGAAATGCATGAAAGGAATATATATTATCACATCTGTATACTGTCACAGCAATTACCTGCTGTGACCAGGCTAAAGCTGAGGAAACATTGCCAGTGGCGAGGCTGGGATCATTTTCTCTTGGAGCATGTGGTTTGATCTCCTTTAACTTCAAGCACAAGCTTTTTTATCACTCCAGCGACACTACTGAGGGGAAGCAGGGAAGATCATGAGTTATGAAATCCTCCTTCAAGTTCCACCTGAATTTGTTCTCATTATCCAGGGATCTTAGATTAGCTGAGTAGGAAAAGGAAACAGACTCCAGTATTCCCTCTGAAAGCCTTTAAACTTGCAAAATTCTTGGTATTTTTTAATGCTTATCCTATGTTTTACCTCTTTGAAACAATTACATCATTTCTGAGTGATGGGAAATTTCCTAAGCCCTGCTGATAGTCACCATTCTCTGAAGAAAGGTATTTGGTCACTGTGCCACTAGGAATTTGTGTAAACCAAGGGAAAACAGCATCCCTGAACATACAGAGATTATACACCCCAGCTCTCATCCTTGGCTGAAGATCAAAGATCCCTTATATTCAAGGTAACTACACCTGCATCCTGCCAGGACCAGTGATTATTTCCACCCAAGTTAATATGTTCAAGAGCACATTCACATGAATGCAGCCTCTTCTGTAGTCCATAGGAAATCTGATTTAGTCCATGGAAGATGTGTCTTCAGGGGAGAACCTCTGCTTTAAAATAAGTGGATGTCCCATAGCAGGGAAAAAGCCAGGCCATTTTCTCTTTCCCCAGCTCTCTGAAGTGCTCAGGAGTTATTTGGTGACTACATCACTGCTATTCTGAAGCCCACATGCCAAAGCTCCCTCTAACAAATGCTGGAGAGGCCGAGAGCATGAAGCCCACCCAGCCTGGGGCACACAGCCATCCACGACCCCCCTGGCAGGGCTCCTCTGCACCCATCGCTTTGTCCTCAGGGCGCTGCCATCAGTGCCATCCTGCCTTCATCCTTCTTCCCCTCAAAGAGTGAATCAGGGACTTGTCTTGAGACCCTCCTGCTCTGCAGCCAGTGGCACATGTCACTGGGGGGGCTGATTTGCCCCACTGCTCCTGCGGTGGGAGCGGGTTCCTGGCACTGTGGAAGCACGGGACTCTTCCAGCAGGACTCCCACGCCGGGGGCTGCAGTATGGCTTCAGAGTGATGTGTCTGACTGAGTGAATCACAGGGAGAAACTGGACCACTTCATGGAATAAAAGCACGTTTTGCCCACCCACCCCCACCCGCCCCCAAGTCCGAAAGCTACAAGTAAAACCGATCACAGGGATGGTACAGAGGAACATGCACTCAAACGGGGCCGAGGGGAAGATGCGTCCTCGGGTGTAGAGGCAGACCCAGCATCACTTCGCTGCCAGGTCTCACACCAAGTTTACCCCTCCCAGCTGGTTTGGGTTCAGTCCCTTCTCCCTTCCCAACCCACGTGGGGTCCGTGTCCACACTAGCAGGTGGTGGCCAGCGACTGGTGGATTGGGGGCTGGAAGCAGCGCACGTGCTCCACTGTGGAACTGTCTGTTTCCACCGACTTCATGTACTTGTTCAGGATGGCAAAAATCTCGTTGTTCAGGATCTGATACTTCCTGATCCTGTCGGCCATCTTCTTCAAGGGCTGGAGGGATGGCGGGGGAGAAAAACAGTAGATGAAGAGTCTTATGTCATCTGATCAGCTAGAAAGTGGCAGTACCTCTGACCTGCTGCTGGAAACCTCTGCTAAAGCAAAGCAGCTATAACACGTGTTACTGTTCCACTTAGCACTTCCCGGGGACTGGTGACTGGCTTCATTATAGGGTTTCATGACTCAAGCCAGAGCATTAACAAGATCAGTGAGTGGTCCTAAGTTAACTGTTCCAAAGTTTAGACTCCCAGCTGCTTATTGATAAAGCCACCAAGATCACAAGATGGTTGCTGGAAATACTATCTCCTCAGATCCTGCTTCCCAACCCCAGGAAGAAGGGAAAGCTTTGGGAGAAAAAATATTTGATTTTCAAGCCAATTAAAACCTTGGCCTCTCTGCTGAGACTGCAGCTGGAAACCTTAGAGTGAATGTGTCCAGTTTAATAAGGTTAACACTGGGCATGGTTGTAATTGATGGGTTTGGACAAAGCAAGATAGAAAACAGAGGAGTGTGCTAGTTCGGGTCCTTTGGGACCTCACCCTTCAACTTACCACGTTTTTTATGATTTCATCCTTCCCATCCTGCCTCTGCACCTTCAGCAGGTGGTAGCAGAAGTCAAAGAGGTCAAAGCGCCGTTGCTGTCCAAGGAGAACAATAATAGAGCAACCTGCCCAGTTCAGACCATCTCCAAAGCACTGCCTGGAAGGGGGACAGGGAGATGGGGTGGGAAGAGATAACAGGATAGAGTCAGGCAAGAGAAGTACCATGGCACCAGGAACTTTCTTTGGTGAATTCCTAGGGAAATCAGGTTCAGTCCTGCTCCTAGAAAGTGGGTGTACACCAAGAGAAACTGAACTCAGAAGGAGATATGCAGAATTACACCCAGGCTGGGCTGTGCAGGGTGAATCACAGGGTGAGATGGGTGAGGACCTAGTCTTGGGTCGTTGGCCCATCTACCCACCTCCTTTGGGCACGTCCCTTTACCTTGCTTTTTCTCCAGCTGTTCTGATAGAAAGCTCTCTTGAGCATCAGTTTATATCCATGCACAGCAACATCAAGGACCCACGTTCCCCCTCTACCTCCACAGTGGCCGAGGCTGTCCCTGCAGCTGAGGGCTGGACACTCACTCTGCAGTGAACTCGTTGGTGCCCACGGGGATGCAGTACACGAACTGCATGGCGCTCCAGAGCCGGTGGAACTCCACGCACTCGTCCACGTGCATGACCCCGTTGGTGGGGGGCGGCCCGCGCCAGATGGGGTCCTGCAGGTAGCTCCGGATCCGCGTCAGGATCACCTCGAACATGGACAGCCCGCAGCACAGCCGCTCCTTGGTCAGCAGGTCACCCTCCCGGGCGATGGCTATTTGCTGGGGAGGAGGACAACCAAAGGAGCAGAAGTGATGATGTGGCACAGACGGACCCCTCGCGGGACTTAACGCTTCCTGGTCTCTCCCCGGCTCTTTCAAAGTTAACACAGACCCTGTGGAAGGTCCAACCTTACCTCTGATGGCTGCTCCCATGGCACTTCCCACCAGAGAATACTCAACCCTCAACCAGAAAAACACTTAATATTGTGCTCCGTTATATTTTACCAACCTCAGTATCTTTTGGAATAACTATGTACATCAGAAAACAAAAGGTGAAGGCAAAGCTCTGATCAGAAATACTGATCCTTACGTCTGCTAGCATGCTGTTCTGTTCTGTTAGTGCTACTCAGCATTGCTGGGTTTCATGTCACCATTTCTGCAGATTATAAAAATAAAACAGGAGAGAACAGGGACATTTTGCTTCCCAGGACATTGCCATCATCTCTTTAAAATGTAGATGGCCTAGGGCTTACTTGATTTCTTTTGTAGTTAGGGTTAAAAAGCTCTGAGCAAGATGAGAAGCCACTGGAACCTTAATACTGGAAAACCTGTGGTTTATAAGAAAGTCAAATAATACTTTTTCCAGATGTGGAAGCTTTACATGTATGGACAATTTCTGTGACATTCCTGCTCAGATTTAGATATACAAATCTGGAATGGCTCCACTGGATGGAGTTATTTTGGCTTTTACACTAAAGGAAAATGAAAAGAGAATCAACTTTGTTTCATCCTCACTGCTCCTGCAGGAAAAAAAATGGGGATTTTAAATAAGCAAGCAGGAGCTGCCCCTGGGAGCAGTGACCCCCCTGAGCTCACTGAGTGGGGCTGTGGTGCAAGCATGGGGGTCACTTGCTGCCCTGGTATCCTTTCAGCTGCCCTATTTATTGCTGTTCCAAAGCAATGACTGACTTCTGTTTGCAGAGCTGCCAACAACAACATGGGAAATGGGAGCTGAGTGCTGTCAGAGCTGTGCCTGTGGCTCTGGGAGGCTCCAGCTCTGCTGTGCTCACCCCAGTAGATGAGAGGCTGCCCCAGCCCCACAGGCAGAGCCTTTTACCCTTCTCACCACTTTGGCAGAGACACACAGAGCAAGCGTGACACTTCCCGAGACCCCGCGTGTCCTACAGGACTTCCTGGAGCCTTAAGTAGTTTTTAAGTATTTGCTCCATTTCCAGCTATCCCTGTAATGCCTATGAAAATATTATCCCAATCAGAGTCACGATGGGGACTCAGAGCAGCTGGGACAAAGGGCAGGGACATGTCCTGGCCAGATGTTAAGAACATGAATTATGCTCCGTTTACTTGGGTCACCTTCATTCCACTATGAAAAATTTATGAGTGTGCCTGCACACCTCCCCTTCCTGACTATTAGTTTATGCTGGAAGTAACCTAAAGCATTTTTAGTTTGGTGGCTCTTGAAATTAGAAGCATGACAATTCTTGTTTGTGTCACAATTTCAAGGATGTTCTGGGAACCTCAGCTCAATTAATGTTCAACTGATAGCAAATATCATGGGAAAACTGTATTGGTCTGCAGAGGCCAGATTGGGTCCGAGATCCCTAAATCTGTTAAACTCAGGAATGATATCACCAGTTCCATGGCACGCACCTGCATGTGTTTGCTTAGCAAGTAAAGATTTATTTTATCCAGCTTTTTGATAGCTAAATGCTGTACACTTTCCCTGTCTTCACCTGCTCCAGGCTCTTATGGGTACAGATCTCCAGACACCAGTCTATCATAGCAAAATGAGGACACAGTAGAAGTAGAGCCATTTCAAATATAAATTAGGTGTTAGCATTACTGTTTGCTAAGATACAGTGATAAAAGTGGCACTTTGGATAACAAACTTCTCCAGTGATCTTAGTACACTGTTTCTGAAGAAGTCTTAATTTAGAAAGGGAGGCATATGGCTTACAATGCAGGTAGTGCCATCAGCTGTGCACACTCACAGACGGAATTTGGTTCTAAAATTCATCACAGTAAGACCAGTCTTTGATACAGGACTACCATCCTTGGGTAGATATCTAACATGGGGAAGGCAGCTGGAGAGCTGTTGACCTTGTGGCCAGAGCTGCCTCACAGTCTGGAGTCCCACTGATTTCTAAGATCAGGAGAGGAAGGATGGTCTCAAGATAAACTGTCAAAGTTATCAAAAATGCCACTGTGCTGGCTCAGCTATTCCCTCTGTCTTCAGAAGGAAAGGTTTCTGTTACTTCCAGTGAAAAAAACAGACTGACCAAGCAAGGATTTGAAAATCCCTTACTAAATACTCCTATGGTCAATATTAAAAGGGAGAGGATTCCTTTAATGAACCACTTTGACCCCCCTGGTTCTTTATGAATGACCCATCAAACAGCTGCTTCTGGATTCCCAATGTAAAGCAATTGTTTACAACAATCACTGACAGTTTTCCTGCCATTGCACAAAACCAGTTTTGATTTTCCAGTTTTTGAACCTCTTTTTACAGCTCTTTAACTGGTGAGCTTGCCAGAACCCTACCCAAAACCTGCAAAGACTGATACATCCCCACTAACTCTGGCTCAGCCCCTTCACAGCACAGAATTCTATGAAATGCAGAGGGCCACATTTTGGGAGAGGCATCTAGAAGGCAACGTCTACTCAGATTCTGAACAATTGCTAAAAGGCATTTATGCATTCTGCAGGAAATATCCCATATGGCCTGTGTCCAAAACTGCATTTCCAAAATGCATGTCCAAAACTGCATAAGGAGCAAGCTTAGAAGCTATGGAGGCACCTATAGAAAGCGATTCTTGTGTTCATTTACATTTGAGCTCAAAAAAAAAAGCAACCTGGTACTCAACTGTACCTGTGTGATGAATATGGGAACAGTTTACAGAAATATTATATTTTAGTTGGACATGAAGTACCTTTTGTTTTCATCACCGTTATAACTATGGCAGAGATAAGCAACGAGTGACTCTAATAGCAGATTTCAATGATGATTTTGCATGGAAAGAAGGAAAGATAGAAAGACCAACACAAACACACAAAAACACAGAGGTGAATTCTTTTTCTCGAGTGTCTCCTTTAAAAAGAAGTGTCTACAAAGTAAGACAAAGCCCTCAGTTATCCAGCCAATTTCTTTGTTTCAGATGATTTCCAATGATGCGAAGTTCAAAATGTCCTTCATTCATCAGAAAAGAAAAACAAGAGAAAAAAATCAACAACTTTCTGCCTGCCATAGATCTGTCACCTCACACAGCTGAGTGTTCATTCCATTCCCTCAGCAGTACATTACAGAAAAAGGGTGTTGATTCATTTGATACTTCAAATGTTTTCTACCCCATTGACCCCATTAAGTGGGCACTGGAAGTTTGATTATTACTATCAGTGGAGCTCAAATTCTGCCCATTACATTGACCAGTCTATGGACATATTTTAAACCATACTCAGTTTCTGCACAAGGGATCTTTCCCAAGCTGAGACCTACGTCAAGAAGATACTTTAATGGAGCCATAATTTTAAGCATGTGCTAAAGCTCTAAGCATGTGCTAGGAGGGAAACCATTCTCAGATGTATTCCTTGACAGGGATGAGCTTAAAAATAGACCAAGCTGCAGCCCTAAAATGAGAACTCCAAAAGTGATGGCAATTGATTAAGTTAGGGATAGCTCTGCAAAGTTTCCCCTCCAACCACTCCAGCAGTTCTCCATCTTTTAAAATGGAGAAGGAGAGTTTTTCAGAGTTGTTCAGATTCAGAACTGGCTTCTAGCACACTTGCCTTACAGCTCCCTGCCAGGTCTCCTGACCAGAGGCAGAAGCACAACATCACTGGACCCACTCACAGATTTCCCTTCAGGGTGTCTGCTAGGGCAAGGATTCTGATTTGCTTGTCCAATTCACGTTTTGCAGAAAAAAAATAAATCAATGGAAAAAAAAAAAGGATCACTTTCCCAAGGCCAAACAGGCCGTCCGGGGACTGCTACGAGTTTTCAACAGCCATCCCTTTCAATGAAATCCTTACCTGCGGAGTGCCCAGCCTCTCTATTAAGGGAACCAGGTGAAGTGGGGCATACTTGGCTTCGAGACGCTTCATGCGCACCTCCAAGCGTTCTCCTTCTGTCAAGCGAGCAGCAAACAGTGAAATGAGAGGAGGAAGTGGAGACCCGCAATTTCCGCCGAGTTTGCTCAGAGCTGCCCCCCAGCAACCATCCAAGGGGACTGTGGATCAGGGAGCCAAACGGACAGCAATGAGGGAACCAGTGATGCAGAGAAGGGAGGGATGTGCGATTGCAGTCTCAGCAGCAGCTTTATCACATGTGTCCAAAAGCATGTCCCTGCTACCGATCGCTCCTGCTGGGATGGACATTTCATGCTGTCATTCTCCAAAGAGGCTGTGAAATGGCTTTAAAACCTGAAGGGAACCCCCAAACTGACTGAGGTTTCAGGCTACAGGAAATGCACCCTTGGCTTTTGTTTGCACCTGACGTTTGGCTGTATTCACTTATCTGTTTGGAGGGGGAAACAGGGCTAGAACTAATCCTCAGCAGAAATGGGAGAGAACCAGCTTCTGGGCAGAGACCTCTGAGTCTGCCCACTGCTTCCCTCTCAGCTTCTTACCTTTGATGTAGACCCTGGGCAAAATATTTTGGAAGGGAGCAGCATGCAGCAAATCACAAACTTCTTCCTGGGACTGAGGCAGGAAGAAAGAAAGATAAAGTAAGTTAAAAAATACCTACAGGGGATTCGTGAACGGCTCAGGGACCTGGGCAACAACTACAACAGTTCATGCCTACAATACCTATTCAAATCCAACCCAGCTCAGTAGCAACTCCAACAGTTTGAACCTAAATGAACTAAAACTGGAAGAAATACCTTAAGACAGGAAGTTTCCCTAACACAAATAAGTTACTTCCTGCCTGCACAAGGCCAGACTTTTATATTTATTTTCTGTCCTATTACTAGCACTGCAAGCAAGGGGGGGATAAAGAACACAGAGGTTTCAGTTTCATCTTACCCTGATGAATTCCTGCTGTCTGTTCTTACAGAAAGTGCCCAGGTGGAAATTACCCTTTGGCTTAGTTATTTTAGCAAGTGTACATGTAAAATATAGTGACGTGTGGCTCTACTGCAAATAGGTATATCACACATTGGTCTGAAATGATTTGTTTCTTCGTATGGTGTTCTCAGCCAGGGCTATCAGAATCCCAGTGGTGCAGGCACCAGGGAGAATAAAACAGAAGTCCAGAGAGGAATAACATCATGAGATGCCACCTGAGGGGATGCATGCCAATGCACTTGAGAAAAAATAATCCCAAACACAGATGCACAAGGAGGAGAAACCTAGAAATAGGCAGGTGGAGACTGAGGAGCGATGGCTGACAGTACATTGTATACGAGTCTGCGATGGGAAACGGCAGCAAGGAAACCAAAGCTGTTTAACACAGAGGCACCGCGTCACGACAAGGCATCATCTGCTCCTGCAAAAGCCTAGTCCTAGGACATGCTTCCAGTTCTGAGCTTATTGTAGAGATGTAGACACACTCGAAAGCAGATCATGACAGCGCAGCAAAAAATATCTGGGGGCCAGATGGAATGACTCAGCTGGGTCTGTTCGGGATGCAGGGCGGGATTCCCCACCTTCCAGCCAAGAGGACAGTGTAGCATGGAGCTGCAGGAGGCTGTACTGGCGCATGGATGCAGGGATGAGAGCAAGTTTGTGGGAGTGCAGTTTGTGACACAGTGCTGGAGGGACAGGAACAGTCTGGGGTCCCTCCAAGGGCAGAGAGATGCTGGTGCTAACGGAGTGGGCCTATCACCTTAGTTGTTTTGTTTGTAAAACACTATTCATTCCTAGATGAATGTTCTTCCACTGCTGTTTCCCTCTGATAAAGAGAGTATTTTCACCATTTGCAGCCTGCATTCATCTGATATCTATCCCAAAATTAGTCATGCTATTAACAGACCTCTTCCCCAAGGCCCATTAACTGACAGTACAAATTCTGCCTCGAAATTTAGTTCCAAGCAACCCCTTGTTCTTCAGATTTAAACAATAAAAAGGGGTAAAATGGGACAGACTGAGCATCTGCACTAGAGCAATTCTTGCCAGCAAATACCACCAGGCTTAGATCACTCAGACAGCTCTGAAGGTAACTGCACCATAAAAGCAATACCTCCTGCTGCACAAGAGCTCCATTAGAGGGAAAATCTTGTTCTGTGATGGCTCTATGAATCTGACACCTTCCAGAAAGTGGGAACCAGTGCAGCTGCATGCAAAATGGCTTTATATTCTGAATCTACTTTTGTGGGGAAAAACAGGGAATCAGAAAGGGGCAGATGTGGACTTGGATGGGCAGTCTTCCTAAAGGGATCCCTAAATTCCCACCATCTTTGCTTTATTTTCTGCTATTCTAAAATGCCAGTACAGTGCTGATGTACAGTTCCTGGGACTGAAGGAACATTTTTTTCATTGAAATGAAGGATTTCTAAAAGAAACATGTCCCTTAAGTCTCCATTTAAAGATGAGACAGAAAAGGCAAGTGCAGTACATCCAGCATAAAACCCAACACTGAGAACAGCAGAAAGCACTTACAAAGCCACAAAAGGAATAGAAACTGCCAGAATATAGTTGGCAACTCTGGTCATTCTATAAAAGCCAAGCTGCTGGGTAATATATATCTCTCTAGTTTTCTTAATCTTCAGCAGCCACTGCTCACTGAATGTGTTTCTTACACCCCATCAGGAACTAAAGTCTCTAGATCTGGAGTTAAAATGCAAGGGCAGAAATATATATATATATTTGGAGGACATGCAGAGACTTTCAGTTTTTCCTGTGCTCTGTGGCTGGATAAAACTTGGAATCTTTGAATTTCCTTCTGGTTTTGCTCTGAACTTTCTGGTTTTGCTTGGAATCCCATCTTGTGCTAGAGAAGTCTATCTGAAATAACCCTGCCAAAACCACTATGACATAAAATATGCATATGTCATGTAAAATTGTGTCATTGAACACTCCCCAGTTGGCTCTAGGCCAAACTATGAGATAAATTCATTACAAAGTAAATTTACTGTGTGAAAAGCTAGAAGGTAGGAAGATGAGTGGCACTATGCCACAGCCTTTGCCCCACACTAGAAAGGGCATCACATGAGCTGAGAGGCTGAGAGACTTCTGCACATGCAAAACAACTCTGGCAGGGGGCAATACAGAGTTGTCACTCCAGCTATTTTCAGTGAGGATGGCATAGAAAATATATCATCAGCTCTTCTTAGATTTCCTTCCTGTTGGATTGCTTTATCCATATCACCATTAGAATCAATCAGGTTGTTTTCATTGCACTGGCACCCTAAAAGAGCAAAGGGCTCAAATCTATGTCTCACTGTACAAAACACATGTATAAAAAAGTATTGATCCCTGCCCCAGAGAGCTTACAATCTAGAAATAAACTCCAGTTGGTTTTATTTCTGAGAAGGATGAACAAGGGGTAGCTTTGGGTCCAAAAATTAAATCTAGATCTTCCAGTATTCAGATTCACCTTCAGCAATCCCAGAGGCATGACCAAGTGCCAGTACACACCCCATGGACATGCCCAAAGACTCCAATAATACAGCCCCAGAGAGACCTTGAAAACACAAGAAGCTGGAAAGTAACATTTCCCAAACTCTTCTGCTGGAGAACCCACTTCCACTTATACTCTTGAGCTGGAAATCTCAAGTATGATGTGTTGGTGCAGGGGGTTTTGCCTTACCAAAGCCTGCTCGATAAGGAGGCAGAAGAGAATGGCATTGCCCACTTCTCTGAGGCTCTGGAACACATCAGTCTTCAGCTCTGCATACTCAATGATGTCCTTCAGCTGATGATGGAAAAACTCCAGGATTCCTTAAAAGACAAGGAAGGACAGTTAGAAAGAGAGCAGAATCATCCTCTGGTAGCTTGGGTAAAAAGACAATCAGTGCCTGATATTTCCTTAGTCACAAATTGCAAGCTGCAAGTGCTAAAAGGATACACAGAGACTGGCATGGGGAAGAACTAAGATGCGGTGTCTTATCCTGCTTTCAGTAACCCTTAGAAAATAGGGAGTAATTCATATGAATCCCTTGGATTTCCACATTAGAGGGAAAATGAGGTTCGAGACTAATGGATGACGTGGTGCTGGCTCATGTAATACCAGCCAGAGTTTCTGACTGCAGAGATGCTGCAAAAGTCTTTGCACCAGCTAAATAGAGCATTTGAAAAATATCAATAATAAACAACATAACAAAAACATACAATTATAAACAATAACAAAAGCTTACAGAATCCTGAAAACAAAACAGAAGCTACCAGAAGACATTCCCTTATCTGCGTGTTCAAAAGGAAATTTACAACAGGAGTTTTCCTGGGGAAGTTTCCTATACATGTTCCAGAGTCAAAGGCAAAGCAGCTGAAAGTGTCCCAGCAAGCCTGGCTGCACGTGGCACTGCCATGTCACGTGCCCAACCTGGTTTAACTATCAGTGTGGGCCCAAGTAAACGCTGCACCAACATGTTGGTGAGCTCTTGCTCAAGCATCCCTCTGCAGCACCCACCTGGAGAGCCATATTCATGTCTTGGCAAGCGGCATATCTTGGGCATTACTTCGATCAGAGTCTTCACATACTGCAGGATGGTGCCTTGGAGCTGTTGGAGAAGAAGGGAAGTTAAACAGGGTCTCCTAGAATTGGTTTTGAAAGAGGCTGGTTGAGGCTGGGTCCACATCTGGCAGCACAGGATGAAACTTCAGCAGGAGTCCAAGAAGGACTTGCTTAATTTGGATTTCACTCAAATATAAAATTCAGCCCAAGTGCATGGAGTCAGAGAGCTTTTATAGCTTCCTCACAAAGAATAAATCACAGCTGCGTGGATTTTCGAATTCAAAATACAGCTTGCTGTGTTTGCACTGTTTGCAGCTGAAATCCAAACAAGGCTCAGTCTTCAATCCAGCTGGACTTGTGTTCCTAAACCAAAAAGCGTTTTACCAGAGCTTCCAAAGGAGTCCTTCACCAGCACAGGAAATGCTCCTTCCACCTGAGGAATAACACTGGATACTCAGATTTTAATAAAGAATTTACATTCACGTAGAACAAGTTTCTGCAGAACTGATGTTTTGCACTAATATGGATTAGAGCAAAGCACATTTCTTAGTTAAAAGCACTTGCTGACATTTGCAGTTACACACCTGCATCCTGTAGATACATTATCTGGGATTACGGACTAAACTCTATTTAGTCAAATATAAAATCTTTGTGCTGAATGCTGTCTGGTCCTGGTGGAAACACTCCATCATCCCACAGGAATCAGTGGGATTCCTCAGCAACGGTGAAAATCACACACAAATATTTCACTGTGGATCAAGGGACACGACCGTGCCCAGATGTGAACACCCTGAGCCCAAAGCCCACGCCGACTGTCCTGCCTGGACCTGTCAAGGCTTTGGGGTTTCTCCATCACCAGGGTCAGGCTCAGAATTACCAGGCTCTTGACGATCTTCAGCAGCTCTTCCATGACCACTGCAATGCCCTGGTAGCCAAGAAGGCGGCAGATTGTCTTGAAATGAGGTGGCCCCACGAAATTGCGGTAGGAGCTGTAGATGTGACTGTAGGCAATGTTGAGAGGCTGAGAAATTGGAAGAACAGTGACAGTTAGACAGCAGCATTGACCAGACCTGTAAGTAATTCTCTTATCACAGTATTATGTTCCATCACTTCAAATAAAAATAAGAAAGAGAAGGAGAAATAATAAAACCCGTGACAATTCCCATTTCTACTTCTTAGGGCAAAAAGGAGATTGCTTTTCTTCTATGTAGTCAGATATATTCTAATCTCAACACGTTGTTATGTCACAAGGTTTATTATCCTACTGTGTAGCAACAGCACTTTCATTTCCAAGGTAATTTACTCTCCCATACATTCCCAGTCAAGTATGTCAGTTCAGTGGCCCTTTGCCTCTTCAAAACCAAATTCTTCTCTACTAAAATGAAAACCTTTATATACATTTAAGCAGACAGATTTTTTTTCCCTATGGGTACTTGCTTTAAATGAGGCTTATTAAGAAAAGCAGGAACTGCAGCCACTGAGTTCAAGGGCAGCTGGAAGAGACACAGAGAAGATCGTTTTTGCATCCTGCAAAACTCTACATCAGCCTCTTCCTAACAGACATCCCCACGGGTCTGTGACAAGGGTAAGAATCTGACCCTGGTCTAGGGAGAATAGTACCCACGGCACTGGCTCCCGAAAGCTTTTAGCAGCAGAGAACATAAAGTGATTTCCAGGAATGTACTCTATCAGTGTCATCTTGGAAATGTGGAAATTGCTGTAATGTTTTATCACTGGAACATTTACAGGATCCATTTGGTGTGAGTGAAACAGAAGTAGGGGGAACTCTCCCTCCATGTCCCTCCATGACATCTCCAACTACAGCCTCAGTGAGCAGCAAAAATGCAATTCTTGAACAGATTTTTGCATGTAGTGCCCCTTCCAGCAAAACACAGATAAACCCTGGCTCATGCTTAACCAAAAGATCTTTCTCAAACAAAGGTAAGAAAACAAAACATATCCCTGTGGATATTTTGGACTCCACTCTACAGGGATCCCCTGCCCTGCCAGTACCGGAGCAAAGGGAGTGCCGGGATCAAGGCACTGAGGAGGTTTGGGTGAAAGAGAGCAAAGGCTGAAGTAGCAGAACAGAGCAAAATATTGTCTGTGCTTCACCACTGCAGCAACACAGTGGCTGAAGGCTCCAGTTGTCCTCCAGTTCTGACTCACTTCCGCAAGACTTACTTTTAACACCTCATCTGAGCTACTAATGAGTTATAAAGTGAAGTCATTTGCTAGGAATTGGAAAAGCATTTTCTTTTGCTCTCAGCTACAGAATTCAGCAGACCGATGTACTGACCACGCTTTCATAGACCTGTCAGATGCTTTAATCAATTAATTGTCCCTCATTTTGTTACAGCTCCATTGCTCTGGTCCAGCAGCTCGTTGCCTGCTGTAATTCCCTGGTGCTCTTTGAACTGGCAGAAATAAGCACAGTTAGAAAGTCCCCTATTTTCCATGAAATATAATTTCTCCTCCTGTTCCTGGTAGGTGAAAACAGCCCTTTAATACTATTAAGTACAGAAAGGCTACCTTGGAGGCTCATTCACAACGAGCATGAACTTTCTCTCCCATTAAAACTAAAAAAAAAGGGCCCTGAATGAGGCATGAGCCAGAGTTTAACAATTATTTAGGCAGACAGAAGCCTACTTTCAAAACTCCTTGGATGCCAACTCCTGTTCAGAGAATGGCATTTGAGCATCCTACTCAGTCTTCTGTCTGCATTCTCAGATAACCAAGTCTTTAAAAACCTGTTTGGTAGAGACAGAACCAAAGCCACTAGTTACACACCCTGATACATCTGAAAAACAGCAATGGTTTGTGTTTTGAAAAGTGTGTCTGTTTAAACACCAGGTAACACCCAGCCTGGAATATTTGCCAAATGGCCAACACAACCATCCCAGAGGGAAGTCAGTGCCCCAGGGTCCCAGCCCAGCCATCCTGCCACAGCTTGTGTCGTTTTGGCTTTTGCAAGGCACCGTCCCTGCTCCAGGTGTCCCCAGAAAGTGCTGTGCTGCAGGAGTGATCCAAGTGGCCCCGAGATGGCTCCTTGCACCTTCCTTCCCTGTCTCCCTGTAGGCTCCTTTAGCCTGTTATTTCCCCAGGCTTAGCACACCAGGGCTAGAGGGGAACAAAATATCCCCATTTCAGTGGGCTCACGAATCCACACTCATTTCTGGAAGCCTCTTTGCTACTCCACAGCCAGCAGACAGGACTTCTGTCTGTGCACGAGCCTTGGTCCCCTGGGATGGGCTACCACCACCAGTACCCAGTTGTAGTGCAACTGGTCAGGTTTTCCCCATAACGGGGCTGATATTTTGCTGCACGGGCAGCGAGTGGCCAGTGCTGCTGCATGGCTGCCACCTCGCAGCACTTCTTCCCTCTCAGTGGGATAATGGGGCTGGAGAGCAGCTCTCATCTGGGCTTTTCCCTCAAGTGGGGGTCTCAGCAATTAGTCTGATTGGGAGAAGACACATTTTAGGATGTGCATTGGCTGCAGATGAGCAGGATGATTCATCCTTGCCTGTCTGCAAGATGAGGGAGATTCATCGAGCTCTCTGCAGAGCCACACAGTGCACTAACAGCAGGCTTGCATCTAATAATAATACTCTGCCAGCAATTAAAAATATAACTCCATTTAAGGGTGAGATACACAGCTTGGGGTAAAGACTGTAGGATGTAAAAAATGACACCAGTGGGTATTTTAAGAGAAAACAGCTGAAGGTACATGGCACAGCTCACTCCCCCGTGCTGGGCAGCCACTTCCAACCCCTTGGAGAGCCAAAGCAAAGCCCTGATCCCCACACCTCTTGGGAGCAGCAGCTGCTGAAGACACTGGGGAGGTTTGCTCCAACTTTGGTTTGGGGCCAAATGGGCAGGTTTTGGGGATGGGAGGCCGGGAGTGCAGTGTCCTGCAGAGCCCAGGTATCCCACCCTGCACCCAGGTCTCAGGGACAGTCATCTGTAATTGTGAGCATGTGGGGAAGGCCCCCGCATTGCTTTGGAAGCTCAGGAGGTTACTAGGGATGCTCCAGAGCAGATTTAGTAGCAGATGAAGCAAATCAAAACCCAGTTCTATTTCCAAATCTTTGAGCTTGTTGTTGGCCATTACCCAGACCTGTCTGAGCTCACCTGAGAAAAGGCAGGGTGAGTTTTAGCTGATAAAATAGATCAGAGAGAGATAATAAACAGTACTAACTGTTCCAGAATTCCCTTGGAAAAATGAAGAGCTAATGAAAGAGGGATATAGAGACAAAAAAGGACTTGCACACAGCCCAGGACTAGTCAGGGCTCCCAGCCAACCTAACTGCAGTGCAACAGCTGAGATGATGTCTTAGAAAGTGAAAAACAATTCTGACCAGAGGAGGGTCTCTAGTCAAACGGCCTGAATATGTCCTGGTTCCTTTCCCTGCCACAAGCAACCTTCACTCCCCTTGAGTTTTTACTATATTTGGCTTTATCAGCTGATTGCTGAGACTTTCATGCAAAAAACCCACATATTTTCTACCTGGGATGGACAGGACATGTACAGTGCAGCAGGCATGGTTATAGACTGTATTGAGACTATGTCTGTCTATATTCTGTGTCTCAGCAAAACAACGAGATATTAGGAAAAAAATCTTTACTGTGACGGTGGTGAGGCCCTGGCACAGGTTGCCCAGAGAAGCTGTGGCTGCCCCATCCCTGGAAGTGTTCAAGGCCAGGTTGGATCGAGCTCTGAACAACATGGTCTAGAGGGAGGTGCTCCTGCCCGTGGCAGGTGCATTGGAACTAGATGATCTCTAAGATCCCTTCCATCCCAAACCATTTTATGATTCTGTGATACCAATACTGATTTCCAGGGACTGTATACACTGATATTGATCACAACAAGCTGGGTAGCACAGCCCAGGAGATCGCTTGGAAGGGATCAGCAGCCCCCACCACCAAGACCTCCTGCAGCAACCACAGCTCCTTCACACCTTTGGGCTGTTGTTGCAGACATGGCAGCAGAAAGAGTGGCTCCATCCTGTTCACATACCGTGACTATTTTTACAAGCAGCAGCAGGATGCACAGGTTCCATCTGCCTGCACACCTTTTAAAAAAAGGGGAGCAAATTCAACCAGGGAAAGGGAAACAGGGATGTCCAGTGATTCTGGCCCGACCCTGCATCCAGCAGTGCCAAGAAAAACAGCAGCACTCATGAAAATACATAAATGAAGCCCAATCTAAAGCATTTACAGAGCGAAGAAGTGGTTAGTGAGCAGTAAATAGTGGGTTGATGGTAATTTTGCAGCTTCTTTGTTGGAGACTCGGCAACCTGCTGTGTTTTATAAGTGGCTGAATGACAGATAATGGCTCAGTTTCTGCTGGCCACTGGAGCATGCCCATGGTTTGCATCTATGATGAGGAGTGAGAGGTCCTAGACAGGGCCACAGCTGGGTCCACCTGCAGATATGGGAAACATCAGTGCTGGAGCAGTCCTGGCACTGGCATGGTTTTGGCATCTTCTCATCCTGGGAAATGAGAATTTCAAGTTCATCACTGGTGCAAGCCTGATTTTGGGAGCAGGTAATCCCAACACCACCGAAAGCTTTGCTGCACTTCCCTTAGCAAGTGGTATCAATCACAGTGTGCAGAAAGGTCAGCAGGACCCCTTGCTGGCTAATCCAGCTATTCCCGTTCTCCTTGGTTTCCTCTCTTCCTGCTAATGCATCTTATTTGTGAACAACTGAAATTTACTTTCAAAGCAGCTGTGAACACTGATAAACTCAGCCACTCAAATGCCATAAGGAAGTGGCTGTCCCATGAAAATGCTACCACTTTCTGTAATCCACCTTTCTGAAGCTGGGATTTGTATCCTCAGCTCTCTCCCTGCAGGCAAAGATGTAATTTACTCACAGCATGGAGCCAGCTAAGAGGTGCCTGTCCCCCTGCTCTTGTAAGCAGAACCGAAGGCAGGAAGCCACCTGGGAGCACTTTGATTTTCATCCCTGTCCATAATTATTTTCATCTCTGTTCCCAGTTTTCTGCTCTTTGGCAGATGCAGCTCAGCTGCTCTTACAGAGACAAAATGGAATACAGATCTTGGAAGACAAAACCATCCAGAACTGTGAAATGTCAATCAAAAGCAAGGGTCACACATACTCCCCAGCGTGTAATAGCCCCTCCTGACACAGTCTGCATTACCTCATCACTGTTGGTATCTAGAAGATCTTTGAAAAGTTGCAAGTACCTTTCCAGGAATGACATGAGTAACTCCAGACCCAGAACCAATACTTCTTCTGGCTGGAGAGCAGTGAGATACTTGTTCAGAGCCTCTCCTCACCAGGCCCGGTGACACATTTGTCCCCTCCTGGCCACAGACTCGAGCTGCTCTCCTGAACACCACCAGGACTGGCATTGCCTCTCCTTCCTGCCCTCTCACCAGACTGACAGGGGACATCCCCAAGTTGTCTGTAAGTCAGGGACATTCAAAGAAGAGCCTGTCTTTAATACCACAGAGTTCATCAGAGGGTCGAGGTCTTTGAAAACCCAATTCCTACTCCCATCGCACAGTTTAGAAAACATTAAAAAGCTGATGGATGTTGCTGCACCATCAGGGATCAAAACCTGCTCAGTGGCTTTGGCTTAAATCAGTAGTTTAAATGTGCAAGAAATCATAGAATTAAGGACTTGAGTCAATGTGTACCACAGACCAGGATCCCAGATTTCATACGATGTGCCAAGGTGTCTGTAAGCCCAGACCCTGCTGGGGGTCAGTGATGGTCTTGCTGGGGAAAAACAGAAAACCCAAACAAACCAGCAAACAAAACTACCTGCCTTTTTTTTTTTTCCTGCCTCAGAAACACATACTTCTCCCAGGCAGAAGCTTTTAGGGATAACATTCCCAAATCACTCGAAGATGCCTGCCCATCCTTTCTTAGTGGTTGCCATGGTGAGAGATGACGGAGCCCCAGACGGGTATAATACAAGGCAGCGCGTGGGGAAGGGATTCAGCAGAGGCAGGAGGGAGGCGAGTGGTGGGAAGAGGGGAAGGCACTGCCTGCCAGTGGCCGCTCTGTCACCAGCACCCACGGCCAGCGCGGACCCGCCGGGGAGGTAAGTGCTGCCCGCGGCTCTGGGAGGGCTCAGCCTTGGGCACTTGTGCTGCTCACCTCCTCGTGTGAGAACGGTCAAGGCAGCTGTTGAAATGAGCTGCTCTCTGAGTGAATTAAAGGAAAGTTAGGGATTGTTAAAGAACAGAGGAAGAAGAAAAAAAATAAACCAGCTCTATTGCATGCAGCTGCTGCTCCGAGCACTTGGCTGGTTGGGAGGGAGAACCAACGGGGCGCAGGGAGCACTTTGGGGATCTAAAGGAGTGATGTGCTCAAGTGATTTGTGGCTGTTGCTAAACAGTAATTTGTTGCTGCTGGGGGAGAGCTTTGTTCTTGTATTTCATATATTTGTATTTCTCTAAAAGCACTGATTTTATATGTCACCGACCTACAGATGTCACATTTAAGATCCTGATATTACAGTGTGACATGCTGCAGGAACAGAAACTCTATTAAACAAGAAGTAAGGTACAGAAAACGCAGCAGCAACTTAAACCAGTGGATTAACCATAATGAAGCTTTTTAAAAAAAACATTTAGGTGTAAAATCAAAATATCTATTGATTTGCAGCTTCACAAGGCAAGTTGGAGCTAGTTAAACTATCACTGTATGTTAATCACATTTGAAGCATCCTTTCTATTTCACGGGAAATAAAAAAGCTAAAAAATGCTTCTGATATAGACAACCAGTTTGAGAGATTTTTAAAAAAATCTAACTAAAGTATACCCTATGCCCCAGCTGGGTTTTTTCTTTTGTAATTTTAGCCATCCAAGACCTAGCATCTAACCTAAGTGAGCGAGGATAGTCCTGAATCCAATGTAAGGGCCAGTAGACCCAGTGGACAGACTTCACTGATGTCAGTGGCTTTTGAGCCTGTACACAAATCAGGAAACTCAGCCTCTGCCTGCATCTGGTTTCAGGGACACAATGAACATCGAAGTGCACAACATCACTTACACCAGTGCCACGGTCTCCTGGGCCATGAACAACCCCTGTCCAGAGAACTACTACCACGTCATGTACCGCCCCAACTGGAACAGCGTCTTTGCCGGCTATTTACGCCAGAACTTCCACCGCGAGGAGCGAGTCCCTCACCCCCTCAGCTCCCTCGTCCTCCACCGACTCACGCCATCCACCATCTACGTCCTCTGCATCACGTGCAAAAACTCTTACCCCTCCAGCAACCACTGCACCACCTTCCACACTCTGGACAAAATCCCCCTGGTTTTCGGCGGCTCTAAGCACGAACCCACCACCTCCATGTGGATGGTGAGCAGCCTGCTGCTCCTCTGCTTCCTCGCTCTCCTGGCCTACGGCTGCCTGCAGTTCTGGTCTGCACGGTGCCACCAGGCTGCCAGGCTGAAGCATCCCGACACCAGCCCTGAAGAAGTGGTCGAAGGAAGCAGCTCACCAGAGGAGCCACTGAATGATGGACTGAGGGAGGAGCTTCTGGAGGTCCCCATGACCACTGTGCTGATGAGGAGCTCCAGTTTCATGAGGGAGAGTCCATATAGCTCCCCCCACTGCTTTTTTTCCTATAAAAACAGCGATGATAAAAGGGCCATCTTGCCACAGCATGGCCTTCAATGAGAGCAAAATAAAACAAGATCCTACTCAGAGGTTTGGTTCATCCTCTCTTTCCCAGCTCTTGCCAAGAGGACTGTCCGTGTATCCATGGCAGCTGTCTGTCCCAGGCTAGAACACAAGGCACAGACACTGGTTGCAGGGGGAAAGATTTTTGTCAAGTGGCAAAAATATTGTCATTTGGTGACAATTTTTAAAAAGAATCCAAGTCAGCTCTCTAGGAACACCCAGGTTTGATGGACTGTAGTGTCATTAGTTCATCTGCATCAGTAAGGTAGGTTCACTTCAGAGTCATCTATCAATGTGCACAAGAAATAAACTCCACTGGAGTAGTTTCACACTTGAGTGATCCTCCACTAGTATCACATCCCAAGCCCTCATAGTGCCTGTATTAACAATCATTGCAGCCTGAGAAAAGAGCTTTTTGTCAGTATTAAGTAGTTTATATTTGCATACTCAAGTATTTTAGTAATTCCTATTTTGAACTGCAAATGAGATTCCTGAAATGGTACCTTCCTTGAGAAGGAACACTGCATTGGAGCAACCAACGTGCTCACCTCTCTGTACATTTAGATGGATGTGACTCAGTCTCAGTGCCAACACTAAGCACAGAGCTGTTATGGCATCTCTTAACATGGGCATGTTACAGGGAAGAATATGGGAAAGCAACAGCAACAGCACACTGAATCTGCTTTTTGCATGGCCTTTTGGTTTCAAACAACGTGACCCTGCACTTTTGCACCCACCATTCTGTTATTGAACTAGTTCTTGCATTTCTTTCTTCCTAAATAAATATTTCCAACATCCACCCCTTCTGGCTGCTGTGGCTCATTTACTGACCTTGGATCCATAGAGGTAATAGGGCTGAACATTGGCTGGCTTGTCTCGCTGGGGCTCCTGCGTGAACGGGATCGCTGTCCTCACAAACCTGTGGTGGGCACGGGAGATGGGAAGTGGTCAGAGCCTGGCTAACTGAAAGCAGATATGGCACGGTCTGGGATGACCTGTAGTTGCAAGCTAATTAGAATTCATCACCTGAGCTAAATGAACTGGATTGCAAACTCCTCCCCCAATCTACCGGTTGTGTAAAATATCAGTGTAACCTACCAAGGTTTCTTCTCATTTGGGGAAGGCAAGAAACCCACATCTGAGCAGCTACCAGAGCTCAGCCAACCCTCAGCCACTTGCAATCACTAACTGTTGCTTGATTTTGTTACTATCATCTTCAAGGCCAACTGGAGATGGTGGGCTTCAGCTTCACTTTAAGGGTAACTGTTGCATCTCATAGGGAGTGCAAATCTCACCACAGCGCACATGAATTTTATATGGCAGGTCTGACATTCTAGAAAGAAAAGCAGGGTTTCCAGGTGGCCCCTTCCTTGCTTTCCCTCCTCACCTGTTGGTGGATCCATTGTAGCAGTAGTTGGGTAGGAAGTCGAAGTTGAGCTCCCAGAAGACGTGGAGGGTGATGCGCCCATAGGGCGCGGAGACGTTGTGATTGGCCTCCCGGAACATGGCATCGAAGCTGTCCAAGGTCATGTGCTTGCACAGCAACCTGTGAGTCAGGCGATTTATTTCCAAGAGCCACTCCAGCTCCTGCAGCACATAAAGCAGCAGCAAATGCAACATATTACCAAGATGACAACAGAAGCAGCTGATATAATTGCCAGGGGAATGGTTTTATATCCACACACACACAGAGAACTAAAGATATCAATTTAATTCAGTGGCCAAGGCCAATTGCACTTCTACTCAAGGGGGTCCTGGTCCCATATCTTGTGAATCTACAGGAAGCAAAATTAATTTGTTCCCCACTCAGCACTGGCTGGTTTTCACCCCAGAATCCTCCAAAGGTGGAAACAGAATTTTACACTACTTGACTCTGATGCTCCTGTAACATATCAAAGACAGCAAATCCTGTACACACACAAACAGTGTCACAGCCACCTTCATCCAATGGGGAATTAAAGTCAAGATTTCCTTCTCCCAGGTTACAGGCCTCTCTTATAGCTCTGCAAAGTCTAACTGCTGACTGTCACCTTATGATTTATGCAGATACTTAATAGTCTGATAATAATGCAATTAAAGCTGCATAAATAGAAATAGTAGAGTCTCAGCAGCATAAAGGAGGATACATGGCTGCCTGAAACCTACTGTAGGGAGACTCAAAGCAGAAGACAGTTGACTGTGTATCCATGGCAGTGTATTATTCTCTCTGTTCATACTTGCAGTCAATAACAGTTCTTACCACTATGGATGTCAGGTCCTCGCTCTCAAAGCGGCTAATGGCCTGGTCTAATGATTTGTACATTGCTGCAGAGATGCGCTGGGTAATGAGCCTGTTCAGGTCAATTGATCTACCCAGCAACTGGGAAAAGAAGAGATTTGCATATTATATACAGATGGGGAAAAGGTATTCTATTTCTTTTTTAACAGACACAACTTAAAACCAAACATCCAAGCCTGCTAAAATGTGAAAATGGCGATGTAAAGTCAACTTAAGAGGGAAGGGGGGAAATGTGGAGAACAACTCGTTTTCCCCTCAGGCCCCAAGCCTTGAGTGCAGTGTGTCAGAAACAAGGTCCAACCCTTCTCATTCCAGAACCAATCTCAATTGAGCCCAGCACCAGGATGCCCACTGTCACCAAATGGATAATAGACCAGGAGTGATGGGTACTGGAGTCTATTACTTGCACTGTACCTGGACGTGCCTCTGCTTGAGCAGCGTTTCGTAGCGGTTGGATGGTGGGTACGGGATGATCACCCCGTAATTCTTGCATTCAGCCCGGAAACGTTTGTCCAATAAAACACTGAAAAACAGAAGCAGTGTCAGGAAAATAGAAACATACACTATCAGCTGCTCTATGGATCTTTCCAGAGTTGTTTTTGTCCTTCTTTTAATCTTGGCTCTGAATGCCAAGAAATTTCCACATGCTAATACCTCTGCTTACACCCCTAAATCACAGAGCAGCAGGTGTTATCTGGGGACTGCCATGCTTCTGTTTTATGGCTGAAACCTTCAAAAAGATAAAAAAAATGTGCTGAAATATATCACTAGTGCCAGGTACAGGGGTGGTCCCCAATCTGCTGTGGGAACATTTGGTTGGTGATGGTGATTGCTCTCCTTCTCTAAGGCCAAATGTGACCTAGAGACAAAACTCCTTGCAAAGTTACACCGAAGACTTGGTTCACCTTTGGGGCCATGAGAAGAAGACTCTCATTAGAGTTCATCCATGTTCTTTAAATTGCTAAGAAGGAAATGTCACAAAGGTTTTATCTCCCCACAAGGGAGAACAAGTCCTGCTGCTTTACTAGGGTGAGGACAAATGCATATTCCTGCTTTGCAGAGATGGGAGGCTTCCATTCCTCTGCCTGGTACACAAACAGAAGTCAAGTAAGGACATGTTGTCTCCATTTGCTTTTCTGCTGCTCTCACAAACTGTACTCAGACAGCTACTCAGGATGCCAGTTGTTATGTTTTCACTTTTAACTGTGTCTCCTTGCCACTGTTAATTCATTTTTTTCATTTACTGGTCTGACGTGGACAGCCAGCTCCGTGGGACAGGGATGATCTATGTTATTGTCTACTCGCAGCGGCTGCTCCCTGAGGGGAACCTTTTGGTTTAACAGCAATTTGGATGCAGCGATATCATCAGTCACCATCAGCAGTCAGGTTCTCCTACCTGCCAGCCATTGCTTTATAATAGGCAAAGATCTGATCAGCCAGCTTGTACACAAATTGATCAAAGCACAAATTCACCTGGGGGAGAAAAAACAAGACTTGGTGAGGGTGTCACCAGCACAGAGCAGCTCCTTCCCATGCATGCTAGATCAACACGACCCAACACAGATCTCTCATTTAAGACAAACATGTATTGAAGGTCACACTATCTAAAAAGCACACTGCAGTTCTCACATGCTAAAGGTAAGCAGAGAATTGCAGTTACATTTTCCATCTTACAGTTTCTGCATGTTCTTACAGGTCCTGGTCTCCTACCCTCCATCATCCTTCCCTCTCAGGGAATTTCTCATTTTTCACTGATGTTTCATAACCCTCTGCACATCAGACAGACTCTTCCATGTCCCCAGTGTTTGACTGCCTTTGGCTTCCACGGTCCCCCATGGGTACAGCTAAGTTGAAGCCCTTAATCAGGAGAGTCTGTAAGGTCTCTGCAAATGCTGATCTTTTGAAAACTTCTCAGTCTGACAGGATATTTTTTTCAGAAGGTGCCTATAATGAATTCACTGAACTGCTGGGTGGGACTGTCAAGCAGGGCAATATGACCCCAGTGAGCTCTTTCTATACAATAAAGATGAAGAGAACTTACTTCAGCTTCAATTTCATCGTATAGGAACTGCTTTTTGAACTTGGTCAAAGCATAGTATGCGCTGTCATTATAGAGGTCCAAGGGGTACAGCACATACCTGAGGGGAAGAAGACAGACCATGTCTTAAATTAACTTTGGAGCATATCAGCATAAATGGCAGGCAGTGCATCTTCCCCGCTCAGTGCAAAAAATGCTTTTTCCCTGACTTCACGCCTATCACTGCCATTCCTGCCAGCCCCTCAAATAGTCCCTCTCGCTTCTTGGGTCCTGCAGAAAGTAGCTACAACAGACCTGGGTTTGAGCTGTGACTTGTTCAATCAACACTTGCTTCTTTCCAACCCTTAGAAAGGCTTTCATCCTGCTCTCACTCCACAAAGTGCTCTGACAATGGCCATACAACAGAAACCCAACCAGGAAGACATTATGAACATAACTACACTTGCATAACAGCAATGCCTCTCCTTATTTATTATGCATTAAAAAAAAAAGTGTGTTTTAGGTGGCTTAGCCTGGGCCCACCCCCCTTTGGTCACACACGCTGTATGACTGTGCAGGTGACGGTACCACCACGTCGTGCCCACATCCCAACTGAGCAGGTGCCAGCTGCTGTTTATGGCACATAAATAAGTGCCAGTGCCAGGAAGCTGCACCTGTGTGTCTGCTAACGAGGTGTTCACACAGTACCATTCACGTGACAGCAAGTCAAGAAACATCTATTCCCGAAACAAAATCCCAAGCTCCAGCACGTGCACAGCCCCAACACAGCCCATCAGCTCTTACTCCATCATGGAGGGTTCTTTGGTTTCCAGAATATGGTCTGTGAGGATCCAGGGCATGGACATTTCGATGGGGAACTGGATGCGGCGGCCCATGGTCAGCTCCAAGAAGAATTCCCGGAACCAGAGCTGGGACAGGTCGCAGCACTGCTGCAGTGCTTCTGAAATGCAGAGGAGATCCCCCCGTGGGAGGGCACCCATGTTACCCCCATGGGGACAGCAGTGAGGACATTGCACAGGAGGCAGCTGCTGCAGCCTCAGACTGGACCGGTTTTGGGTGGGAAACATTTTTCTAGGATGTCTCTTTTTAAATCCAGACCATGTTCATGCTGTCTGAGTACTTTGTCATGGAAGAAGAAAGAAGGGATCATCCCTTTTGCCCCAGAGCTTCAGGGGGAACACTTCAATGGCTCAGAGTTACTCTGATTCTGAAAATCTCTGAAATCTTCCAATTTCTTCTGGGCCCAGTGGCTCAGAAGTTTGTCTGGGACAGAAAGGAAAGTCCAGTCCTAGAAAATACACTACTGCACGTGGCTATTCGCTGTTGCTGACTCAGTCCTGTTCACACAATGATTACTACATAGAAACATGTCTGAATCAGGCAGAAGTAGGATATTTGGGAAAAAACAAGGAAAATCTTCTGCATAGGTCAATGAGGACCAAAGCTGATCCACCTTTGCCTTTCTGAGCATGAAAGAGTTGGATTCAAGCCTCCCCCTGCCATAATCTCACCACTGATGTTGAGAAGGTGGGTGAAGAAGAAGGACTGCTTATGGAACTCCTCAATGGCCAAGACTATTGGCCCATCCAAGCTGCTCCTCAGGGTCTTCTTTGAGCCACTCTTGTCTGCTATCAGGGACTCCAGCATGGTCCTCACCATGTAAAGCTTTGGAAGAAGGTGGATATGCAGTTACTACTCTCCATAAGACACCACCACACAAAGCTGTGGTGTTGTGGAACAAAAAATGCTTCTCCCTGGTGGCGACCACTCTCTGCACCCATGAGCAACTACCCATCAGAGCTAGATAAAATTACAGCCCTAAAAAGGGAAGCTTTGAGAACTATACAACAAATTAGGCACCAAAGCCACATTCAGTGCAATAGTATGAAGACTGTGGAAAAGACACGGAAACAGCTGCTAATCCACAGCGTGGGAGACTCTTACATGGCTATAAGACCATTAATTCCCCACACAGATTCAGACATTTATATACCTGCGTGCTTGATGGTCCTACTGCTCGTCGTGGGACTTTGATATCAAATCCACCTTTAGGATCCTTCTCACCTCTCAGGCAAGGATCATTTGGAGGCTCTCGACCTCCCTCCCAGTCACAGATTGTCTTCCGAATTGCCTGAAGGACACTGGATGGGAGAGGGAAAGTAGTGCTTAAGCTTGATTTTACTTCAAGATGAAAATATTCACTGCTGTGCACACATGGGAGGAAAAGTATCTGAGGTGGGAACATACACAGTTGTTATTGGTGGAGTCATGCCCAAGAGTCACCTCGGGAGGAGCTGCTGGCCGAGGAATGTTGGCTGGTTGTTTACGCTGAGTGCACGCAGGGCCACAGGCTTATACAGTATAAATGTGTTCCATAAATAAACACATGGGCTTTGCATTGCACTCAGGGACGGACTGACCTGATCAGGACGTTCTTCTTCTTCCTGACAGCCTGGCGGAGCGGCTCCCGCAGGGTCACCTGGGCGAAGTCCTGCAGGGCCGCGTAGATGGTGTTGCGGATGGCCTGGTTAAAGACACTCTCCATCCGGCCCATCAGCACCTGCAGACCTTTGATCATGGCAATTACCTGAAGCAAAAATTAAAACCAGAGGTGTCTGATGTTTTTCCGTTGCATGAAGAGGTCCATAAATGCAACATTAGGGGAATTAGGGGCTGAACTAATTCCACTCAAGTTACATAGGTCCAGTGATTAGGCAGCTAATTTTTTTGGTGTTAGCTGCTTTATAGATCACAACAAGCTGAGGAGAGGATTTACACCATCAGTTTCTTCCAAATGACCCCTGTCCCTGGGCAGGCTTTGTTTCCACTCCTGATCTCTTGCTATCTTTAATAAAACACAATCCCAGGAAACTGCACATGCTCCACATGTGGGTGCAGCTTGCACAGACCTGCATTCACACCAGGGCACAGACTTCCTTGACCAAGAGTACAGTGGAGCAAGCCACAAAAGTTAAGGCAATATTCAAACCACCTTGGGCTGTGGAAGGCAAGATGAAGGTGTGAGGGCCTCCCATAGCCAGGCTCAGAGGACTATTTGCACCATCTACAGAGAGCTGGACCAAGAGCTGATGGGTCCTGGGGACTGGCTGAGGATCTCGTGTTTGCACAGCTCCTGAACATAGCTGCTGATCTTGCTCTGCAAGCCCACTGTATTGGGTTTGTGTGGCAAGTTTTCAATAGCAGGAGACTACAGGGGAGGCTTCTGTGAGAAGCTGCTGGAAGCTTCCCCCATGTCCAATAGAACCAATGTCAGCTGGTGCCAAGGCTGCAGGCCAAGGGCAAATTAAGGGCCAAATTAAAGGATGTGGGAACCCTTAATCCTTTAACATGGGCCACAGGGATGAGGCACTGGCAGAGTACAGTAAGATACCCTTCCATCCTCTTCCCCTGGCCTGAGGAACATGCACAGGAAACCAGCAGTGGCTGGCTCTGACTCTCATGCAGTTGGCACCTACCTCCACAAAGGCAAACTTCTCTTCACTGGTGTAGTTGTACCGGGTGGCTCTCTCATACTCTTCAGCTGTTCCTGGGCAATCTTTGTTACAGAATTTATCTGTGGGATGAACCAGCTTCCAAGAGTACTAGAAGATGGAAAGAGACAATGTCAACATTGCAATGAGCAAGAAGCTGGGCTGGAAAGACTCAAGAGGGCCTGGGCCAGGAAATGACTCCCTAGACATCACTACCGTTGTTTGACATTCCTTTGGGAGCAGAATTTGTGCTACTTCCTAGCTTTATTACCACTCTACTGAATACTGGTTTTGGGAGGTTGCTAGGCATATTGGTCTTTTGACATCCATGAACTTGTGTTGAGATGTGGTCAAAATTTTTCAAATTAAGAATTTCCATCATCATTTGAATGGCAGTTTTAGTTGCTCAAGATCCAGACTCATCCCAATCAGCTTTCAGGTCCAGGGTGAGATGACCAAGCTCTTTCTCCATTTGACACTCGGGGTGTTCAGGGTCATTAGCTGCCTGATCTCAGCGTGTCTGATAATGGCTTAGTTAGGTGGCACGAAAGCAAGCTCACCTTCCCACAGTCTGCTACATGCCATGTCAAAACATCCACGCTCACCTGGGAAGAGGAGGACGTTACACACTCACCACTTCCATGACGTGGGCACTCCACTTGGACAGCAGCTGCAGTCCCCGTAGAGCGAGATCAAAGAGCTCCCTGTACTCCTCATCTGATTTCTGGCTGTCCAGTCCTGAGCCAGTGACCACCTGCAGGACATCACATCACCTCAGGGTTAGATTCAGCAACTTGCTGCAGGGGCCTCACTCAGCCAACAGATCCCAGCTGAAATGAATTCCCTGTGACCTTACAATCAGGCTAAAATTGAGTAGGGCATATACTGTCCCTCAGGAAAAGGGGTATAACTTGGCAAGACTCTTTTCACCCAGGCATAATCTATTTCCTGTAGAGAAATGAGTCTGACCTGCAACCTCAGAGCAAATAACTTACTCTTTTATTCCACTTTCCCACTCCTTTTAGATGGTCTAATACTACTGAAATCCTTGAGAGTCCTTTACTGATTAAAAGTTCAAATAAGCACTTACAAATGCCAAAAAGGAAAAGGCTCAGTATACTACGATTCATTAAACAAACACAGATTAATGAGGATCACACATTTGCAAAAAAACAGTCCCAATGGCATCAGAGAGAGCACTGGCACTCAGTAATGAAAAGAACAGAGATGCCCTCGTGAACTTTCCTCAAAGCCCTGCCTGAGAGCTCTGTGTAATAGAAAAATCCTATTTGCAAATCATTGGTGTTCTGACATCTGGCTGATAATAAACATTTAATTGCCAATTTTTTTCTGCTTATTATAATGAATTCAAGGAGCAGAAGCTGTTGCAAGAGATCTACTGCACGTGATTTTGCACCTACAAGAGCCTTTCATAACTTGCTTTTTTATTGCTGGATCGAGACGTGGTTTGTTCCATCCATGTCCTTCATCCCTCTCACTGTGGCAGACCATACTCCTGCTACATTGTTCTCTCCCATCCTCGCCCACCTAACGAGCCTGATTACAGTGGCTACACCCTGGGAGTGACTGACCTCGCTGTTGCTGTAGCGAGCGAGCTCCGAGATGAAGCGGATGTGGTCATCTCGGATCTGCACCATCTGCTCACAGATGTTGTACTGGGGGCTTATGCTGCTCTGAGTGCACGTCCACCTGGGGAGAAAAGCAAGGGTGTCAAGGACAGGGCACAGGGCTGCGTTTAGACACCCCAGGGACAGCTGCTCTCTTCACTTCAACATGGTCCAGACATGCCACCTTCAGGGCAAATGTCAGCCTGTGTTGTCTCTCATGTCCCCTGGTGTGTGGGGTCTTCCAGAGGTGGTCTGATGGGGACACTTGCCTCACCTTTCAACCTGACTACCTCTGCTCCATCCACCCTGAAGACTGCTGTCAATGTTGGGCTCATCTACCCTTAAGAGCAGAGATGGCTATTTCCCAGACCATCTCTGCACAAGCTTTCAGGGAAGGATGAAATTCAAAGACTTGGCATCATTTTCATCCTTTCTGCTAAACCTAAGGATAATCATCCCCTTAGAGATTATTCCTCCAGCTCTGGGTTATGCTGCCTTCTCCTGCAAGGAAAAACTCTGCAAGGGGCCAGCACAGGAATAGCTCTCCCACTGTGTTTTTTGTTCTGGTTCATGCTACAAGCTCAGTGAACAACTTTGAGTATAAATGACAAGCAGAATATGATTAACTGAACTAGATTTTCATTTGCACAGAGCCACAGGTACCATGTAACAGTGTAATGACATCCTAAAAGAAGGTAGCACTCCTCTTGCAAAGGCACAGTCATATGAAGGAATGGTACAAACCAAGTCTATTAATATCTTTTTCCCTGTAATGTATTAGCCCCAGACACAGAACCAGAATGGCTCCACCAGAATGGTTTGTGCAAGCAAATGCCTGTCAGCAAGATTTTCATGTCTTACTCTGTCAATACAATGTAAAAGTTCAGATTATGCTTTTTTCCCCCCTAAATAATTGTCCATCTTATGACAGATAGTCATGTTCTCCAATCTAGACTGGCCATACCAAAGGAAGGTGAGAAACCTGCCTCTGATATGGACATAGAGATGAAGACATATCCCTACAGATAACTGCACTTGTTGCCAGAATTTGTGATGGTAGAAGGTCCTGGAGGTGCTGGGCCACGTCATCCCTGGTGAAATCCATCCTCCCACAGCCCCATGGTTCGACTCTTACCCGTCTCCATGTCCTGTGCTCCCCACCGGACAATCGGCAGGTTAGCAGGAATGGCCAGGGCTGCACCAGCCCTCCCTGCCACACACAACCTAGTCCACAGTGCAGAGACAAAGCGCCATGCAGGAAAAACACCAATTAATTCCACTTTCATGGAGACAAGGAGGGAAAGAAAGTGACAAAAACAATATTAGTAATAAATGGGGATCATATGGAACCACCTTGGCAGAGTTAGTGCTGGGAGTCCCATGCAATTTGCTGGGAAAGCGAGTGAGGAAGAAACACTGGTTAGTAAGGTACGGCACACAGACCTGGTAAGACAGATTTCAAGACAGACATTAAAATCGTGAACAGGTAAACAGCCCGCAAGCTACCCTGGTTTTGAGATGAGAAAATGAGGAATGCTGCTGACACGTTTCGTTGAAATGTGCTTTCTGAATGATTCGAGATAAAAAGGTGCAAAATTTTTAACAATTTTTCTCTTCTGAATTTTCAAAAATATTCTTTAAATTTACATTACGCAGAATAATATTTTTGTCTTTTTTTTTTTTTCAATTTTAATTGAAAACCTTTTGTTCAGGACGCTTTGCCATGTTGTTTTCAAACCTCTCCTGAACAATTAATTGGCACTTTTCAACCTGCGTTTACAGGGGCAAGGGAGGGCTGCTCCTGGCGGGCAGAGAAGCCAGACCCTCCGGGGTGGAAGGGGACGAGCAAACAGAAGCAATGAGACTGCAGGTTAGTTCCTGTCCTGCTGAAGAGACAGTCCAGCCAGGCTGTTTCTCACAGACACTGGAGAAATCTGACTTCCATGCAATACAGTCCCGTGGGTGAAAGGCCACAGCCTGATGAAAGCCAGGCTGCCACCAGCCACTACAGCCAGACACAGCTCAGACGGGCTTTGCTTATGTGTGGTTGCAACTCCCATTCCAAGGATATCCAAACCTAACACCGATTCTTCTAGCAATACCTCAGCGTGATGCAAAGCTACAAAGACAAGTGGAGCCTTGCACATGCCTGGTGTGACTGAAACAACGTCTGTGAATTCATCTGACAGGAGCAGCAAACCGCCTGTGAGCCCAGGCTGCGAAGCAGTGCTTTACACTGCCATGCTACTCCTGAGCTCTCCACAGACTCCATTTCTGCCCTTCTTGCACAATATTTGGAATCACAGAATCACTTAGGTTGGAAAAGACCTCTAAGATCATCGAGTCCAACCTTTGACTGATCACCACCTGTCAACTAAACCACAGCACTAAGTGCCACATCAAGTTGTTTCCAGTTCATCTGAGCCCCTTGGCTCCATCCTCATTCCTGCTGTCCTTCTTCATGAAACCTGCCTGAGCTAGAGGAGACACCCTGGCTACTGCAGAGATCCACTGCTGTGTTCATGCTCTGGAGGATTTTGTCCTTGAGATGCAAAATGTGGATTAAAATCTCTCCAGAGCAGGGACACGCTGCTCGCACTCACACACCTCACAAGCACTCAGCACTGCCCCAATCCATTCACCAGACGCCTTTCCTTCCTCCTGCCTCACTAGTGGCCACCCAGCTCCCTCCCAGCCCTCTCCAGTGGGCACAGAGGTACAGGCATGCCCGCTCCCCTGCCTGCTCCCAGGGGGATGGTTACACGTGGGTTCGGAGCTGGCTGCACACACAAGCACTCAGGGCTGGTGAGGACATCTTCCCATGCAGGGACAGGGACACACAAGCACACAGAGCTGGCACTCACACCCCACAGGGACACACACGGGTACCCGTGCACAGACCTCACACACACCACAGAGCTGCAGCTCCCACGGCTCTCAGGACACACACAGAAGCCAAGAGACATTATGGCAGGCACTCACTTGGATTTGTTCTCCTCATAGTGAGCACTGGTCTTAATGTATCTGGCCAGTTCTATCTGCATATCGCCGAATAAAGGAACCACCTGCAGCTGCTGGAAAAGAAAACAAAAGATGGTTGAAACACGGCAGAGAGAGCGAGCCTGGCCCCAGCACAACACAAGGGACTATGGAGAGGCATCCTGCATCTCTGAAGCTTTGGAAAGCGTCAGGCTGTTTAAAGCAAGGTGCAAACCTGGGCCCAGGGTCATTTCCCACCTAGTAAGAGACTGAAAATGATCACAAGGCTTTCTTTGTGAGGAAGATCATCCCCTGTGAGTGCTCTGGAGCCCTGGGCTCGCCGATACCAGGCTGGTAATGGCCAGAACAGTTCAGTGCTGTAACCAGACAGAGGAAAGGCTCTTCTTACAACAAAAAGAGAGAAGCACATTCCTGAGCAGAGCTTGTTGTTTCCCAGCATAATCCTCCAAGAGAAGAGAGGGATGAAAAGCCAGCACATTGGTATTTTGGACACCTGTGGATGTGGCAACTTTGCCCAGGCACTCAGAATGTACTTTAGCACTGTGGCTGCTTGTGATGTGTCTTAAAACTTCTCCATAAAGAGAAAGGCACAGGCAGTAATATGGCTTTACATGCCCTTTACATCTCAGGAGGATTTGAATGGGAAATAAATTCCAAGCACACTGAAGGTACCTCAAGCTCAAACAGGTCCCTGCTTCACTAAGCTTTCAACTGCAAACAAAATTCAAACAAGAGCTACCAACATTTCATCAATAAAATATGAAGCTTCAACTTCACCCAGCTAGAAAAGCCTTGCCCCAAAATTCAGGAAAGATGATGGCAAATTCCCTGTTCTATTATCACACGTTTCTCTTCTCAGGCTGAATTGTGTGGAGGGTGTGTAATGCTGCCATCAGGAATTCCCAGCAGCACTTCCATAAAAGGTTTAAATGAAGGGGTAGTTCATTTTCACTACTCAAATTCCTGGTCAATCCACTAGAAATTTAATCAGAAGGCAATAAGCAGATGTAGTAAGAGGAGTAGTTGGTCTTTCCTTATTGAGATCTGATAGTCTGGAGTGGTACTTAACTGATTAGGTGAGACCACAGCAGATGCTGGAGAAGTGCAAATGGAAAAAAAGCTGTAAAGGAGAAAGTTATTCCATGCAATGGAAGATATTTTACCTGGTTCTCTGATGGCCCACAGCATTTTGCAACAAAGAGCAAATCTCTTTGAATGCACCAAGACGACCAAACTCTACAGATTACACTGAAGGCTTGATTTAAACTGAGATTTAGCTGAATTAGCAAAGCTGACCTAGGGAAAACCCTGAAGACTCTGAGGAAAAGCATGACAAACCACCTCTGCAGAGCTGCAGTCCTCAGCAGTCTGCCCAGTGACTGGAGGGTCTTTGACCACCTCATTACTGCCCCATCCATGAGGTTATGGTGTTTGTGGCCCCTTGCTCTCAGGGCTGTCTCCAGGAGATGGTGCAAATTGGGGTAAATAGGTCCCCACTTGCTCGGGACAAGGATGCAGCAGCTTTCATGAAACCAGCTACCTGGGCTCACCTGTTCCCTCCCTGCACAGACCCAGCACATCATCTATAAACTGAACCTCCAGGCAATAAGCAGGGAAGCATCCTCTATCCAAAACCACAACCAACCTCTTCTTCCAGACTCCTCATCTGATCTTTGGGTAAAGCAGGAGGGAGAATCCACTGTGCTGAAAGACTGATGGGGAAGGAGCGCTCTGTGCCCTCCCCAAATTATCATCTTCTCATTTTCCCTGATGTGGAGCAAATGCTGGTAACAGAAAATAATCTTTCCATCTCAGGAAAAAGATTAATACAGTGAAGGCAAAAGGACTCTGGAAGGACTGCTCAAAAAAACTAATTGCTCTGTCTGGGAAATTATTCTGCTGTTCTCCTGCTATGCCGTTAGTCTTTGCTGCCAACACATTTGTCCCTTGCCACATCCCACTGTGCCTCCTAGAGCTCATCTGTCCCAAACCCAAAATGCCTCCTGGATCCACCCTGTGTGCAGAAGCACTGGAAAGGAGGCATCACTTTCCCTGGGGTGCTGTGCAGGCTCTCAGCCCCAGTCTCTGTCATGGGTGGCCAGGGGCTTACACACAGCAGATTTTGGCAGGAAGCCACAGGGTTATCCCAAACCTTTCTTGTGCTGAGTGATCCCAGGGCAATGCAGCCTGGCCTCCAGCTACAGACCAGCCCATGGGTGGACTCAGCCTCACATGTGCTTTGGCAGAGGCAGGTTGTGTGACTGCTTCCCACCCTGCAACCGGGAGCATCCAGTTTTCATGGGCCCTTCCCCAAAACCCACATCTCAGATAAGACAAAAATGGTTTGTCAAACCACTGGGTGACCCTTTTGAGGATGAAACTGAGCACCTCCAAGTCCCAGCTGACACAAGCCCCCCAAAAAGCTTTTTCTGTTCTACAGGGAGAACTTTTTATACACAAAACTGCCAGATCACACGTTGGTTTGTCAGCTGTGTTCTCTGTCCCTCAGCTCAGAGAAGCACAACCATCACCTGCACAGACCTCAGCAAACCAGCCAGGTTTGCTGGTGGCCTGAAATCACAGACTGCAAACCTGCCTCAGAAATGTGCGGAGAGATAGAAGTGATGTCGGTCTGGCACATCCTTCCCTCACCCACCAAACAGCCCACACGCCCTCCCCCTCCTCAGTCCCTTGGCAGGAAGCAGGCAGAGCTGCAGCAGCAGCTCCCCAGCTCCAGCACCAGGGGAGCAGAGCCAGCTCCAGGCACTGCTCACCCATCCCTGGCCTTGCCGGCACTGAGGGCTGGCATGGCCCATGCTGCAACTCTGTGTCCATGGCTGGTCACAGCAATTCCATTCCCCAGACTTTGGCTCAGACAATTCCTTAACCCTTTGGGGTTTTTTGGACCTGTAAACGATTCCTGTGGTTTATTTTTTGCTGGCAGCATGTGCAGTGGAACGAGTCGCTAATCCATTGGTCTGCAATAACCTCCAGCCTCACCCAGACAGGTCACTGACCTTGAAGAATTTGTCTATTTTGCTAAGGTTGATTCTCTTCTTGGCATCCAACTTGTAAATGTTGCTGACATTCCCATCCATGAGATACAGGCCAAACCCCATCACCTGGAGAAGATGGAAAGGCAAAATTTCATTAGCATGAAGTCAGCAGCACAAGTCAGTCAAAGACAGTTCTCTACCACTTGGCATGAGGAAAGACCATTTCAGGCTCCTGTGCCACCTGACTCTCCTGAGGAGACTGTCTAAAACATGCACATATCTTCAAGGATGCACATGGCAGGCTGAGGACAAAAAATAGATTGCTTCTGTTTTCTGTGCAAAAACATGGTGCTTCCTTTGGCAATTTGTTCCTTCTCTCTCCCCCACATAACAACAGCCCAGAAGTCTTCTCCACCCAAAGCCAAACATTTACACCCAGAGAACAATATAAACATTTAAAATATTCTCCTGGATTGATTTTTCCCCCCATTAATTCAGTAAAAATCATTACAGACAGTCAAACTACCCACATTATCCTTCAAAGAACCTGAGCTGACTCACACCATGGTAGTGAAGTTTTTATGGCAATAGTGACTGCAATCATTGCCAAAAACTGACTGACAGCAAGGACAAATACACCAAACAAGCACATACTTTGGCATCTTCATCTTGAGGGCTCTTTACAGTCAGGAAAACAAACCTGGAAGGACCTGCCTTCTGCAGGGAATGGGCACCAAGAAGAAAATTCTGGGTTACAAAGTTGGTGGTAATGTTAGAATGCCCTTTACAGTTACCCAGGTCAGGCCCGTGATCCTGCATGTCCATGTACAACAGAAAAACCTTGGGAAGGATTGTGGGAAAACAGAGAGATGGAGATGGGGAAGAGCAGAGGAAAAGGAAAGAGGAAGGAATTTTTATATGGGAATATGGAAGAAGATCAGAAAGGACAGCAGAGAAATGGTGGGAGAAGGTTCAAGTCACAGGAGTAACAGAAGCAGCTCATGGCACTGCCCAGCAGAGATGTCACTTTGGAGCACGGGGGTGGAACATCTCTGACCCATGGCCCCAACCAGTCTGTTCAGCTACAAAGAAGAGGTGAAATGGGAGGACTGAGGTATCACAGAAAAGACAAAGTAACAGGGATCAGAAAGGAAACGGAAGAGGAAGCAAAGCAGTTCTGCTGCTGCCTGTGGAGCAACTTGTGTGACCAGAGGGCACTGGCTCTGCAGAGGAGGGATGCATGTAAACCCAAAGGTGCACAAAATTAAGAAATTGAAAAGAAACATTGTCCTGAATTTCACTTTACTAAAACAACAGTAAAACCATGAAAGCACCCAGCCCCACAAACGTGGCTAAACCTTACCTTCAAGAGCATGTGCTTCTCACTTGGAGTAAGATACATCTTGTTTTCATAATAATCCACACAGATGTTGACAATATCAGCCAGCAATTCCTCGTAGCCAGGGATAACCTCTAGTTGTTGGTGCAGGCACTGAAACATCAACAGAAGCCACATTAGTGGCATGGGCTGAAGAAAAGCAGCAACCAGGGAGGAAACATATTTGAAGGATTAAAAGTAGAATGATAAGAGGTACCTTCAAACCTCTTCTATATGCTTTTCTTAAGTTACTGGCAGAAGACTGACCTCATGGTACTACCCGGAAGGAACAACCTTCCTCTGCAGGGCAGCTCTCCCCTTCAGACTGATCACAAAAGCCAAACATCACACAGGGAGATGCAAAGGAAGGTGACTCAGAAGCAACTTTCTGACTCTCCTGTTTCTGTACAATATTGTACCTAATTAGCAGAAACTATAGGGCCTGTGAAGTGTGGAGGCCATGGGGTCTGAGCTGAAGTCCCCATGCAGCCACAAGGGATGGATTTCTTGAAGTTCTGGCAGAACTTCCTCCTCCCCCTCTTCTTACATCTTTCAGACCTTCATCTTTGTCTTGACATAGAGACCTTCAAAGCCATCCAAGATGATGCATGAGAAGGAGATATTGCTAGAATTACACAGCCTGACCAAAATACCATTAAAGTCAGTGGCAATGACTCAACAGCTACTGTGACAGTCTGGTCTGAAGTGCTGTCAGCCTCGACGAGAGCATTCCTTTTCTCTACTCACAGAAAGGTTCAGCAGTTCAGAGAAAAGGGACCTGCCTGTGTGATGCGGTTGTGGTTTGCCAGGAACATGGAGAGGTTCTGGGACTCCTGGATGGACTGGGGGTCTGCCATCTTCCGCAGAAACTGGGCAGCTCTGGAAGGGGAGAAATCCAACATCACCAAGGATCACTAAGCCAGCATGAGACTGTCACCACTCACCTCCCCTGTCTGAGCTGCAGTGCCACAGCCTCACACCCCACTGCAGCACAGTTCTATTTACCAAGAGGGAATCAAAACACACGAGGGCAGAGATTTGCCTAAACTTGCAAAGAGAGCCTGGGAGAGCACAGAAACCCACCCTCCAGCCTGCTCAAGTTCACATGTCTGCCCAGGCGCTTCCCATGCAGAGCAGGCACAGTCCCGTCCCCATTCCCACTGTTTTGGCCCCTCTCACCTTTTGTAAGCAGAATGGTCATTTTTGACGCTACACTTCATGTTCTTCAGCTCATCCAGGACGGCAAACATGTTAATGAACTTGCCCAGAGTGAGGAGATAGGCCTCGGAGACAAAGTCCTTCCTCCGCTCAGCGTGGCACAGGCGCTTCACCTCACTGCAGAACCGCTCGATCGCCTTGCGCTGGGGGGCAGGGGGACAGGTCATCCCTGCAGTGGCTCATGCAGGGTCATCACACCACCATTGGGACCCCACTCCACCCACCACCAGCTGCTTCCTTCAAAAAAAGCATTTTTTGGCTGGGGATGGAGGTCAGGGTCCCTCTCCACTGTCCCCATGAAGCGGAGCAGCATTACACACCACTGCCGACAAACATCCTCAGTGCTCGTGAGTGTGGCGTGTTCTGCAAAACCAAGCTTCAGTTTTTATGTGGGACATAAAGACCTCACAGGACACAAAACCTAAAAATGATGGTGAAACTCAGCTGTGGCCCGTTACAATGCAGGTGGTGATGGGGAGAGGCCCCTGGAGCCCACAGCAGCTCTGTGATTGCCACATGGTCATTGCTCTGTTGGGGTCTAAGTGTATTATTTTGTCAAATGCCTCAGGTGTAGCAACTGCTAAATTTAAGCTGTGGTGCTCTTTGCCAACTGCTCCTGAGCTCAGAGGCTGTGAACACATCCTTGTTCCTTTTGGCAGGGGAAGAAGGTGTCCAACTGCAAGGCTGTATCCCACTCCAGGCACCACCTGCACCACCAGCCCTCAGCTCTTCCTGGCTTTGCTTCAGAGGGAAGAGCAGAAGAGTAAGATGTGCTGGTGCTGGGGAAGAATCAGCTCTTCACATCGGCCAACAACCCAGAGAAACAGTAGCCTGTGCCACCCATTACCTCCACACAGTGGGGGCTCTGGGCCTCCATGAACTTGAAGGGCTGAGGTGTGCTCTTTCCTGACTTGTACAGAGGATTTTGGGGCTGATCAAGGGACACATAGATTTTCCTTCAGACAGGTCTCAGGTATCTGCTCACGTGGCTGCAAGGAAGAGACCTATCAGAGGCTTGGGGGCTCTCCAAGCTGTCCTGGCAGGCAAGGATAGCACAGCCCTGCTTAGGATGTTAACACCAAAGTAAGAGATTATTTCTGCCTCTCTCCTTGACCACTTACCTGAAAATACATGAACTTCATAAGCTTGGTGACTTCTGGCTCCAGAACTTCCACCGTCTTCTCATAAATCTCCACTCGGTTTGGCTGTTCGTTACATTTCACCTGCATTGCAAAGAAAATCATCCATGTCAGCATCAGCTTCCAACCCTGCCGTGGACCACAGTGGCTACCATCTTCTCCTTGTTTCACACTGAGTCCCACCTGAGGACAATGGAGGTACCCAAGAGGGAGCTGGTTCTCATGGCAATACGTGACAGTAGAAGGGGCTATTTTCAGACACTAAATTCTCACCGTGCATTCTAAAAAGGCATTCTGAGGAAAAAATGTCTCCTAATGCATTTGTCTGGGATAGAACACAGGCAGTATGGAGTCTGGACTTGCTGCACAGTGTGGGAATGTTGTATCATAAAGTTATCTGAGACTTTGTGTTGCAAAGTCCCCTGGGCACACAGGGCACCAGGCTACAGCTCTGCTATGGCCTCACTGGGATTATTTTGGTTCTGTTGCTGACCCGTTAAAAATCACTGGGCTTGTCTGTGGCTCACAGCAATGAATTGAGTCACCATCATTGGAATCCTGGGAAGCTAAATTTAAGGACTTACTCAGTTGTCATCCATCTCACTTCCAACAGTTACTTGGAGTCATTACCAAACTTTTAGGGAAAACCCCAGCTGCGCAGGGGAATGCATCCTGCTGTCCTCCTCTGGTTCTGTTTGCAGCTGTTGCTCACACAAGGCTGTGATGGGGCTGACAGCTCTGGTGCACTTTCAGCAGCTGATGCACAGGGCACAGGGGGACACGTCAGCCAGCTTCATATGGGGGAAGATGCCAAAGTAGCCTTGCCCTCTCTGTAGTGGGCAATCCAATGTCCCTGCCATGTTCTACACTGCAGTTAGGCAGTATCACAAAATCACAGAACATGCTGAGTTGGAAGGGACCCACAAAGATCATCAAAGTCCAACTCCTGGCCCTGCACAGGACAGTCCCAAGAATCACACCATGGCCATGAGGAAGCAGCTCATGGGAGGGAGGTGTGGTGCACCTTTAGGTGTAGGCTCTGTCCTTCATCTGGAAAACCACTGTTCTTATGTAGCACAGGGAGAGTAGCCAGGCTGGGGGGCTGAGCACAGAACCCTCCTGGCCATGTGCCCTATGGCAAAGTGCAGGGGTCATTCCAAGATAAATCTGGTGAATCTGTAAATGAACCCTCTGCCGTGGAGTTGTCTGTCCCTCCGTCACACGTGGAACTGCCTGAGGTCCTGAGGGGGAGGACGAGGCAGAGAGCAGGGACCCTACAAGCTGCTCAGAGAGGCACAAATGTTGCAGGGAGGACGTTAAAACAGATGATCTGTAGCACTTGTCTTGCCATCAGCTGAACCACAGCCTGCCTTCCATTGGCACAGCCATGAGAGGCAATAGCAGCACAGCATAACAAACAAATAGGAGATAAGCAACTACCCAGTCAGCAGCAGAAATCTCCCCATTGCTGGGTCTCATGAGACCATCAGCAGAGTACAACCCAAGGGGAATTGAGGTTTGACCTTTCCTGGGGAATCACAAACATGGGCATTACATTATGTGGAAATGTTTTTTCCTGGCTCCACGGAAGAGCCACAAACCCTTTTATCTGTAGGGTTAGTGGAAGGGCAGAGCACCCATCCCAGCACGTGTCAGTTGGCATTTTTGCAGGGATCCAGCACGTGTTCACATTGCAGGAGACTGAGCTGAATCATGATCAGTGAGCCATGTGGGCAACCTTACTCATGTCTGTAGGTGTTTGCAGGATGAAGCCATCAAAATCCAGGTTGGAGAGTGAAGGACTACAGAATAATTGAAGAATAACGAGCAGTAGAGGAGGACAATGATTAAAAACATGGGGAGATCAGGATCCTCATAAGTATCAGCAGCAAAAAAAGAGCCTTTGGGGAAATGTTTCTGTCATATTCAAGTGCTCCTTCATTCATCCTCGCACAACTTCAACAATTTTAAGGGGCTGCTGTGGGAGCAGAGAGAGCATCCCACAATCTTAGCACCAGACTGGGATACTGAAACTTGCCCCAGCTGCCCAATCTGCTCTGTGCCAGCCTGGGAGAGCCTGAGACTGCCACCTATTGAAAGGACCTGCTCTTCTCATCCCAGCCTGCCTGGGCTCCCTTCTTCACACAACACAAAAGTCTCACTTGGGACTGGGGAAATTTTTAGCTGAAGTTCTTGATACCATACAAAGGTATGAAGAAAGTGTGATATAAACCAGATGATTTTACTCTCAACTTCCAAAAACTGCCTCTGCCTGAAGCAAACTCAATCTCCTCACAATGTGAGAGAGAAGACTATTCAGGTGGTGCACTGGTAAGAAAATTGCTTTGAATTAAAGCAAAGCCTACCTGTTCTCCAGAGAGAGACATGGATAAAGACCCAAGTGATGAAACACAGCACCATCCCATGCACTGTGCTGGACCAGAGCTGTGCTCAGTTCTGTTAGGAGCTGTAAGACAAACAAGCTGGTCCTGTGGGACTTCAGGTGCAACCACTTCATGGGGCAGGGAGGGGCTCATGAAAGCAGGAAATGTATGTAAGGCAGTCAGCTGGTGGGGAGTGTGTTTGAGGTGAGAAGCAATGCTAGGAGCTGTGAGGGATGGAGCCCTCATATGCACGAGAGTGCAGAGCAGATGCCCTTTACTAGGGCTGTAGTACAGACCTGCTTCTGAAACAGCTACCAGCTGCTGAGTAGTGGTTGAGACCACTCAACCCAGTGGTTGAGAGTTTGGTGGGGAGGAGACAATTTGGAGAGTCATTGGTCTTTCTTTTTAACTTATCTGCTTTAGTTTTCTTTGCTTTTTTTTGGTCTTCCGTCTCCACTCCAAACTAACCCACGCTCAAGACAAAACCAACTAGATGCTCTGGGAACATCCCTGTCTGGGAAGGGCTTGAGTACCTGAGGGATGGCTCGTGAGCAGCTCCTCCACGTGTAGAGCATCACGGCGTACTCGTGGCCTTCTTCCAGCATCTCATTCTGAAACACAGAGAGGTGTTGATGGGGCAGGGCAGGCACTGCAGGCTCAGCACCACTGGGGCAGTGCCCGGGGGACTCACCATGCTGGAGTGCACCGTCGCCTGCTCGATGTACCTGGCAATGCCGGTCACAAAGGCATTTCTGTCTTCAAAGTTTGTGTCAAAATTAGCCTGTGGTCAAGATGAGGATTAAAATACAGTTAGTTGTTTGCTCACCTGATACAGTCTAACATGGGATGAGTTGGCAAAAAGCACAATCATTAGGGGTCTTGGGGAACGGGAACAGCCTATGAACAATTTAGGTGCTGCACCTCAAGGTCTGAAATAGGTTCATATATACACCCTGAGATGCTTCTGAACCACACATGTTCATTAGAGGAAATCCTGCAGGTTATATGTGTGGAAATATGGCAGTTAAGACTGACAAACCCTTGTAAAATCAAGCCAAACTTTACTGCAGCCACACTATGGACCAAACCTACAGCAATTATTCTAAGGATTTTAGCCTAGTAACTCAAAGAAAGATGCAGCATCATTAATATCTGTTTGTGCCCTGGCTGCTAGGGAAAGACCACATCCTGTCAGCTGGAATTGCAAGGGATAAATACACCGAAAAGGCAGGGAATGAGTTGTCTGGAAAACAATATAAAAGTCAGCACTCATGCAGGTGCTATTATCAGTGCTACTGTTGCTCTTGCAAGCACAAACCTTGTTGGGATGAATAGCTGTTTTGGAAGCTGCAATATTGCTTTGGGTTGGGACAGGGGAGCAAGAAAGTGCAGTGGAAGGTGGGGGATGGAAAAGCAGCTCCTCAGCCTCTCTGCACCCAGTGCCCGTTCACACGCTCTGCGCTCAGGTGATTTCCTCCACCCAGGCTGGCTGATGGTATCTGCTGCAGGGCAGGGCAGACAGAAGTCCCAAGCACCCAGAGCTGCTCCTTGCAATGGCATTAGCACTGCAGTGACCACACTCACCTCAATAACTGATTTCCTGAGTAGGAAAGCCGGGAGCACAGACCCATCGCCACAGGGCTACTCTTCTTAATGCCTCCAGGACTTCATATGTGACTAATGTGACAACAAAAGCTGAGCCTGCACAGGCATTTCTGGCTAGCAGGGGAGAGGGCTATATACAAACGGAGTATGATGAGGAAACATCTCCATACCCTGCTTAGAGAAGGTTTTTAGGCCAAGCTGTGTGCACACACTCGTGGTCCTGAAAGGAGGCTGTGCCATAAGGCTGGACCCTGAGCCCCCCATGGGACACAAGCTGGCAAAGGCTAAAAATTTATTGAAAGAAGAAATAAGCAAAAAATGGTATCAAGATTTTCCAGGGAGAGCTGAAATTTGAACAGCCCAGAACAGCCTTTGGGTCTGATAACCTATAAAGATACTAAGGCCCAGGGTCTGACCTGCTGAAAGAGATACTGTAATTCCAGACCCCTGCCTACAAGGCACAGCAATCACGGTAGGAGTGTATTTATACACTGCCACGGGTAAGCCATGAATTCAGGAGTGGCAGGATGGAGAAAGTAACCCCCTATTATATTTAACCCTGGGTGTGTGCTATAGGGCAGGGTGTGGTGGCTGGCCAAGCAGCCAAGGCATCCCACTGTGTAACCAAAAGCAGGAGGTTGAGCTGTGCCCTGGGCTCACGCCAAGCTTTGCTTGGTCAGTGCAGCTGCAGCTAAATCTGAGGTTGTTCAGGGCAGAGAAGTGATTCTAGCAGCTGCCCTCCCTTGCATGCCAGCAGCTCCCCCAACCAGCAGCTCCAGCTGTGCTAGTAGCAAAAAGTCAGGCAGAACTTTGATCTCGCCCTGCTTAGATGCAAGCACTATCATAAAAAGGAAGCACAGAAATATGTGCACAAAAAAACATTGCCGAGAACTTTCTGCTGTTATCACAAATCTTATCTCCTGCTTCCTACCCATTCATGCACTCTCGTCCTCATTTTTGCTCAGCCTTAAAAATCCCTTTCACCAATCTCTGGTGCTTTCCTTTTAAAGTCCTTGGGAACAGATTTGTGGCTAGATCTGTTCTGAACACTTCCTTACACATGCTGAACCCAGGATGTTTTCAGCTAGTTCTCACAGCACCGTGTGCCCCGTGCTTTGCATGAGCTACCAGAACAACCCTCCCTCCCCGCTGCCCCTGGGGGCTGAAGTACCTGGTACATGATGGAGGAGGGAGGTGGTTCGATGCATGGCTGCTGGTCTGGCAGAGGCAGCTCCTCCAGCAAGTCCACGTTGGACAAGGCATCCTCTAGCGTGACGTGAGTCGTCATGGTTCTGGATGTTCAGTTTCCACACTAAATCCAAAGTAAAAGAGAGGGTGATTGCCCGACAAGACAACCAGCCAGCAGGCAAAAGACCGAGTGGGAAAGTTCTGAAGGACAAAACCAGCCCCACAACTGGCTGGCACTGCAGGGGATAAAATCACAGTTTATCTCATTTTCCTCTCCTTGTGTATTTAACCTACATCTCTATGTCATCTCTCCTTCTACAACTCAGCTGCAGAGTAGGAATGCAGAATAAGAGGAACACAACTGCCCACCCAGGCACTTCTCTCCTAACTCTATGCAAAACTATCTGAGACAGAAAACAGCTGGGTGCTGCAGTGCAGCTTTAGCAGCCCCAAGTGAAACCTCCAAAATGCAAAGTGGTGCTATCAAGAATATCTCTCGAAGCAGCATGATTAAAAAAGTATGACAGATGCTGACACTCACATGCTCTGCTTCTCACACACATGAACGGCGCTGGAAACTGTAAACAACCAACTGCACTCCCAAAGGTGAATGGAAAGAGTGCTGTGCAGGCAGGCTGTGGCACTGCAAGCAGCCAAAAAAGAAGTTGCTGTAAAATAGAATTTCCCTGCTTTTACCACAGACACGGAATCCACTGTCACTCCCAGCCCACCCTGGAGTCGCCAACAGTGCCAGCTGCACACAAAATAAAATCAAAGGGAAACATTCCTGAAAGCTCCCTGGCACTCACCCCAGGCAGGCACCCACTGGGAACCCCAGCACAGACCTCGGTGTCCCTCGTCTCCTCTGCCACTCACCTTGGCTGTAAGTGCACTGTCACCCAGGCTCAGCACTTGTGTAATCACAGCCACAGGGCTTCCCTGGTTAATGCCTAATCCTCTGCAATAGCTGTGCCCGACCTAGAGCCTGTGTCTCCTAGAAAAACACCCCACTGCATTTAAACATTTGCAGAGAGAGAATACTTTAAATATTGACATGTCATTCAATTAGCAAATCACCCCCTCAGTGTTTCTTTCCTCACTCAGAGCCTGTCTAATTTCAAATGTGAGCCTTCTGAGTCTTATCACTCTCATCTGCAGGACAGCAGAGCTCTCTGTTATCAAAGTTCCCATCAAGATACTCACAGTTCAATAAAACACCCTGCAACCTTCACTTTGGCTCAGGCAAGCAGACCAAGCTCTTCGCCCGCATAGCATGTTTTCCAATCCTTTAATCATCTCTTTGGCTTTTCTCTAAGCTTTTGCAACTCTTGCTGAAGTGCAGACACGGTAGCAGGACACAAGGCTCCAGCAGTGACTGCACAAGAGCCAGATACAACAGCAGCATAACCTCCCTTCTTGAGTACAACCACACCAGCTCCTTCGCTCACAACAGCAGCTCTATGGTCTCCCATACTCAGCCAATTATCTGCTACAAATCCCTTAGGGTTTTCCCCCCCGAGTTGAGTCACTGTTTCCAAGAGTATAAGTTTGCTCTTCATTTCCAGCACTGGGAGCACAGAAGGACAATGGCTTTGGGACATCCATAGATGGAGACACACAGACCCAGCAAGGTCCACTGCCAAGAGGGATGCGCTCTGTGTGTAGTACTGGAGTGGTTTCATGCTGGGTGACGAGAGGGATGAGTCTGCTGCTGTGTCTCATCATCATTGCTGCCTGCATGTATGGACTGCAAGAATATGTATGAGCCTGGTAAAACCCATTCCACCTCCACAAATGCCTCCCCAAGGTAGCAGGCAGCTGAGAAACCGGTTTGGTTGTGCCTGCAGCTGAAACATCATTAAATAAGTGCCTGGAAGAAAACAAAATCTGAAGCAGCTTTTTCCCTCCACGCTCAAATTTTTGTTTCCTTCTTCACCCCTCTTTGCTAAAATGGTTTCCTGTTACAAATTGTAGCAACTGTCAAAACCAGACATTATGTTTCTGTAGCTTCCTCCCTGCCTGCCTGCAGGCACCCTGTGCTGCTCCCCATCAGCCGGCGGCTCAGCTCACCAGCCCCATGGAGCCACCCACCCTGCTCCACCACCACCCTCCAGCACCTCTGGACACACCACTGGGATCCCTGAACAACACCCCTGCTACTCACTCATGCTGCATTACACACTTCAGGCTTGAGAAGGCAAAACTTTCCATTTTATAGCTTTGAGGGCTGTGGCTGTTTGTTTGGGCTTATTCCCCATTTCTCTCTTTAAGTTCAATTCTAAGACCATTTGTGCAAGGCAGTTTACTGTAATCAAAAACATCTCCTCAATAACCCTGTGACACCCAAAGACCTCAGCAACTCAAGGGACAAAATTACTGCTGCTGTTTGGGCCATACCAGGAAACAGAGTCCCAGATACAGCATCAGGGTCCTGCTGTGCCAGGCAGCACATAGACCTGTGAGGCCAAGCCAGTCCCTGCCCTAAAGATCTCACACTCTAACAGAGGAAGAGAGGCAGCATGTGGAAATGAATGAGCAGAAAAGGAAGCACTGAGGCATTGTGAGCGAGCGGTGCAATCAGCCACCAGCCCACCCCATGCTTTGCCACGGCTGAGCAGTGCAAGAATCTGGATGCAGATGGAAAAACTACACAGACTTTGAGGGTTTAATACATGAGTCTTTACAGGGACTTCTAATTTCCACTCTACACTTTCTTAAGCCCAACAGGGAAACCAACGGAGGCTACAGGGAACAGTGTGGTCACACAGGACTTCCCCTGGGTCTTGTGTCTGTAGCACATTGCCACAGACAGCAACCTCACAGCTGGAGCATGTGACAGAGGGGCTACTGGTCCAGGGCCAGCAGACCTGGATCATCACCCCAGATCATCCAGAGGAGCAGCTGTGAGTGACCTGCCATCTGCCTCTGCCGTGGCCCCTTGCCTGCTCCTTGGGGTGGCTGTAGGGCTGGGGGGGGGGCCTGTCCTTGGTTGGAGTCCCCTGCCACGTGTAAGCATCCAGCAGTTAGAGGGGTTGTGCACTGCACAAAGGCTGGGGAAGGCTCTGAAGGCATCAGTGATGCTCTGTCTGGTCCATGGGGCACTGCACTGTGTCACCCCACCACGAGGGCAGCCTGGGAGAGCCAGAAGGTGAAGCTCCACTACCACAGACCCACACTGTTCTCCCTCACCTTCCTGCAGACAGGTTCTTACACAAACACGTGGGGGCTGTCCCATCAAATCCAGTTTCCTCCCCTCTGTCCAGTGAAAAGGGGGGCAGCTGTCAGGTAATCTGTCAGCAGCCAAGCAGCTCCAGCCCAAGGAAGTCAGGGATCCCTGGGGACACTCATCAAAAAGCTTCAACTGCCATCCACCACCTGGGCTTCAGGGCAGGGGCAGCTGTGCTGGGAGGCAATGGTTTGGTGTCAGTGTTTGGGCACACGTGGCCGTGGGGCTGGGCCCCCACCACCCAGGGAGCAATGCAGCAGCATGCCCAGAAACAGGGCCTTTTTTCTGTCATAACACATCCACAGAAGGGTGAGGCTTTCCCTTGCATGCAGGAAGCATATCCTGCCTCTCTGGACTCACACACAGCCACACAGGCTGCCAGGAGCCACCTCCATATCCCACTGCTGGTCAGAGAGGCCAAAGTCCCTCTGCTCCTACATGTTTTGGCAAAACTGAAGGTGAGCCTGGCAGAAACCAGCTCCACCCCAGTGAATCCCAGGGCAGGGATGCTGCCACTGGGCTGATTATCCCTTCTGCTGATGAGCATCAGTACTAATGAGTGCAGTGTTGCCCACACTTTCTCCTCCTCTGCTGCAGAAACTTCCTGTTGCTTTCCCACGTCTCAGTTGCAAACCCTCTGGCCATCTCATACACCTTCTGAAGCCAAATGATACCAGAGGCACTGGGGCTTCCAGACACTGCAGGGAGCCTGTAAGGCAGGGCCCGTGCAGAGGACATGGCCCCACCACCCTGAAATGGAGAGTTCCTGACACAGTGACTGTTGTGGCAGCAGCTTGGGGGCCAGATTTCACAGACAACATAGTAAGGCTTTGAGGAGTGAGGATGGACATCCCAGCTATCTGAACTTGCAGGGCATATCCTACCTTCCCCACCAAAATGCTTGCCCAGAAGTATTGGTGCAATATCATTCTCTTTGCAGCAAGAAGCACAGAGGCGACTTTATTGTTCAAGCAGCTTAGGGAAACAAAGAAAGACTTTTAAAAGCAAGGCCATAACGAATATGTTGCATGCATGTGTGCTCAGCTCCAAAGCTGCACAGCTGAGAGCTCTGGGGAAGTGGCACGGGCTGTTCCGGGTTTTCAGCTTGCTTGCTCCTACAGCAGTCAGTCACACTGGAGCTGCAGTAGGTACCAAAAGCAAGAAAGGAGGGAAGAAAAAATGGGAATTGCCCAGAGTCCATGTCCTGCAAGTCTGGGGTGAGATGAGCAGCAAAATGACTTTTGCCAGGGAGATGGCAATGGAGAGGAGGAGGACAAACCTTCTGGTCACCTCCTGAGGATCTGGGATTCTTCTTCAGCTCTGATGCCCAGGCCCTGGGTAACCTGGGAAAGTCAGGGAATTTAGTTTTGCCCCTGTGGTAATGCTTCTCCCTCTTACTCCAAAAATAGCATCTAATCAGTGGGCAGGAACTGTCCTGCCCCAACAAGTGCCCAAGCAGAGTGAAGTCTTATGTCCATAAGAACAAAGTGTTCCTGGTACCCACTGCCTCACAGCAACAGAAGAATAAATGCTTCTGGCCACCAACATATTTTTAGTCCAGAATAACTTCATGGTGCAAAAGTTTAGTTTGACCCTTGTCTAAAATGCACAGTATTGAAGTCCCCTGTGTTTTAGGATGCATGTCATCAACTCCTTCTCTCATGCTCTAAGAATTACTTGTAATTGCAACTATCACCACAGTCAGGAGGTTCTTTATAGAAGCAAATAAGCACAGCCAAGAAGAATGAGGCTGGCAGAGCTGGGCCTCTGCCCTACACAGACACAGATGCTAATAACCATGAAATCACCCTTCCTATTAAAAAAGGAAGCCAAACTGCATGACTCCTGAAGCTGTATCTCCAGTCTACATTTTCTGCCATTCCATTAGGGTTGAGTTCCAGGCATTTGTGCCATCCTTGTCTTTCAGCAACATAATTATTTTGGAATTTATTTCTTTTAGAATAACTTAATCATATTTTTTTCTGGTGCCAAAGAAAGAGGGTCAAGGAAAGAGGAAGGTATATGAAGCTATATTTCCAATAGAGTTGAAAAATTTTGAGCAAGTTTACAGGCAACTCCACTGCTGACAGTTAAAGCACTTCTTGGGAAACCAAATCATACAGGCCAGCATTGTTAATAGTTGACCAGATATTCATCTTTAAAAACCAATCTTCCTATTTTTCATGCAAGGATGATAATTGTTTGTTAACAAAATTATTATAATGAAATCAGCATATTCTGCTTTGCTCATGAGACCCTGGTCAGAAAACGGAAGATTTTGCATATTTCCCAGGCTTCATTAATAACAATTAACTGTACAAAGGAGAAAAGAATCATCCTTTGCAGAGAATTACCATAGAATTATATGGCTGTGACACCAGAATACTGGGCTCATCACCCATTACTGTGACTAACCTCAGACAACTGTCGTCATGCAAAACATGAGGGTGATTTTTGTTTCGGTATCTCGGGGCAGGAGTGGTGCAGAGGCTTTAGCGACTCAGCCTAATTCTTTGAGATCTTTGTGATCCAAAGCCCCCAGGCAGGAACCCCCCGTGGAAAGCGGCAGATGGCAGAGGGGGCCACGCTCTGCTGCTGGCAGTGTCCTCTGACAGCACACACAACCACCACCCTGCCCCCTTCTCCAAAACAGCCCTGGGCACGCAGAGGGAGGCTTTAGTGTGCGCCTCTTCTCCTCCTCCTCGTTCCTTCCCGGTCCTTCCAAACCACGGAAATTTCCTGCGGAATCCATCCCTTGAACCCCCGCCCGGTGGGATGCGGCTGGCACGAGGCATTTCCAGCGGTCTCGGGTGTAAAGTTGAGCACAAAGGAGCTCTGCCCGGCCCCACGCGCGGGGACCGTCGCTGCGGGGCTCCGACCCGCGCCACGGCCCGAACCTGCGGGCGCCGCTCCAGCCATCGCTCCCAGCGCTGGCTCAGCCTCCCTCGCTGCCTCCATCCCCCTCCTCCCCCAGGAACACCATATTTCCACGCCACGGGTGATCTGGGAGCTGGCCGGGGCCCCCGCCGGGGCCGCCCCCCGCCGCCAGCCCGGCGCTGCGCGCCGCCGCTCCTCCACCATCATCATCATCATCATCATCATCGCCATCCCCTCCGCGCCCCGTTCTCCCCGCGCCAAGCATCGCCGCCACCCCGGCTCAGGCTCCCACTGCCACGGCGGGGCCTGCAGCGCCCGCGGGCCCGGGGGCTCGGCCCCTTCCCACGTCCTGGGGGCGCGGGGCCGGCATGGGCGGGGGGGAAGAGGGGGATTTGCGCTATTTTTTCCCCGGCGCTTTGCCGCGGCTGCGGGGAGGCTGAGCGCCGCAGGTAGCTCTAGGGATTGTGGGATACATCCCGCACATCCCGGCCCGGCCGGGCCGCCCGCCTGCCCTCCGCTCCCGGGGCGGCGGCACCTGCCCCGCCGCTGCCCCCCGCCCGCCGCCCCCGCTCCGCGCTCCCGGGGCGGCGGGGGCACCGCGCTCGGCGGCGAGGGGGGAAGGAAGGAAGGAAGGAAGAAAGGAAGGGAGGGGGTGAAGCCGCGCAGCCCCCGCGCAGCCCCGCGCCCACCCCCGCCCGCTCACCTGCGCTCGGCGGGCGCGATGCTCCGCGCCGCGGGATGCTCCGCGGGATGCTCCGCGGGATGCTCCGCGCCGCCCGCACAAAGAGCAGGAAATGGCTGCAGCAAGTGCACTTCCGCGGCTCTCCGCCGGCCCCTCCGCGCGGCGCGGCGGCGGGGGGAGCCCCGGCCCCCGCCGCGGGAAGGGGCTGGAGCGGCGCGGGCGGCTCCTCCCCCAGCAGCGCGGGGGATGCGCGGCGGGGCCGGGGGCTGCATCCCCCTCCTCGCCGGGAAGGGGGGGCCGCAGCTCTGCCCCCGCGGCGGGGACCTCCTGCGGTGGTCGCTCCGCCGGGGCCGGCCGGGCTGGCGGCAGCGCGGCGCCGGCGGGGTCGGGGTCAGGGAAGGCCGCCAGCCACCCCTCCCCGGGGCGCGGAGGGAACAGGGCCGGGGGCAGCTGCTGCAGCCCCTCGGAGGTCTGGTGCTGGCAGAGCGGGTTTGGGTCCCTGAGGAGGCAGGACCCGGCTGGGTTTCCCCATCTCCCTGCTGCTGTGTTTGCTGGGTATCGGGTGTTCAGCCACTCTGCCCCTCGGAGGACCATTGCTAAGTTTAACCTACCATCTTAACAAACATGCTGTTTGCAGAATACGTGTACGTATAGAATACATATGGAGCCTCGGATGACTGAGCATGTTGGGGGCCAAAACCAGAAGGCAGTGCTTTTGCTTGGAGCTCCAGTCCTCTTCTGAGTCAGCATCACATCCAAAAGGTCTTCCTTTTGGCATTTTTGGCATCTGGCTCTTCTTCAGGGACAGGTTTCCAGTCCTTCTGCTCATGTTTCTTTTTAAAGCTCTAATACAGCTCTTCAGATCTACTGTGAAATCCAAACTGGACCTCTCACAGCTTCCAGAGGAACATTGCCTCGTGGTGACTGACACAAGCCCTGTATAGAACTATCTCTGGGAGTAGACCCTTCTCTTTCCCCTGAATAGCGTTTCTTCTTTGGAGGTGGGACTAGATGACCTTTAAAGGTCCTTTCCAACCCAAATGATTCTATGATTCTGTGATATCTATGACTCTATCTCACCTTTGACTGGAACATTTTGTAGCCATCATTCCTCTTTTTACTATTTAATTCTTGGCAGAAAAATTCAGTATTGCAGACACAAAGGATTTTACAGCCAATATTGCTCTGAGGCCATGGGTGAAACCAGGTCAGTTCAAGAAAACTGTGGCAGCAAAGAGTTCTGTGGACTTTTTTTTGCACAGTTTAATCTGGTCCCATTATCAGCTAGGCTCAGGGTGATGGGAATTCCATTAATGTTAGGATAATATTTTAGTTTTCTGCTCCGTGTTGTCTTAGCTTGTAGAATAATAGAATGAGCTGCTCTGCATTTGTCCTGCAGATCTCTGTGCAGGGAAAAATGACAGCGAGGAGCAGCCCCATGCAGCTACAGACTCAGGAGTGTGTGCATCAGCTGGCTCTGTGTGGAGGGGTGGAGGGGAGAGAGAACTCGATGGTGGGAGGAGCTGAACAGAAGAATACACACAAATTTGAAGTGGCTGCCAACTGAGATTTAGCAGAGCCATACACCTGAATCCGTCCGCACTGACGAGTGCAGCGTTCAGAGAGGGACAAAGCCAAACATCACATAAAAACATGTTCATTAAAAAATGTTTCAGGAAATTCTAGATTGTTTTTCAGGCCTGATTTTAAGGTAATTGTGTATTGACAACCCCCACTTCCCCGGGGTGACCAACACATGCACAGGAAAGAGGTTTTCATGGCTAATTCTGCCGCCCTCCAGCCCCTGGTGTCCACTGAGAGGCATCAGCTGCTCCTTCTAGATGAGGTTACTGCTTGACTGCCTTTTCCTAGCAGGGACGCCAGCCTGGCTGTGCCTGTGCCTGGCCATCGCAGCAGCAGGTTGGGGACACGCTGGGATAGAGCTCTGGGCCTTGGCTCCAGCCAAGTGTGCAGCGTCAGCAGAGCCGTGCACCCAGCGGGAAAATAGGGACAAGCACAACCTCCCACCTTGCTGAAACACTTTTCCATTGGGTAAAGGTGGAGTGGCTGAAACATTCAGCAGATTGCAAATGCTTTCTAAGGAGACAGGGAAGGGGTATTCAGAGAAAGGTTACTCACTTTGCAGCAGGAGACTGGTATTCTGACCTCTACTTTGTGGGGAACGTGTCCAGTGAAGCCACATGAAGGGCACCCACCTAAACTCGCCATAGACACTGCTCTGGTGGGAGGAGACTGGGTTACAGTGCACTGACATCATGCAGTTATCCCAATAGGGCACTACCTTTTTGAGATTCCTGAAGTGCCCTGTAAATTATCATGGGGAAACACCCTCTGGGAGCACTCAAATACTACTACTCCCGTTTTATGAAGATTCAGAGAATTTAAAGCTACCATAATGAATGTTTAGACCTAAAAATCTGGTGTCCATATAGTAAATTATGTAGTAAATTACCCAACTTGCAGAGATTCTGAATACTTCATAATAATCTAATCCCAGAACACAGCCATAGTTCTGGGGAACAGAGATATTTCAGAAAGCCAGAAAAAGCCTGTTTGCTTCTTGGTGGGAGGGATTTGGAGGAACAGCAAACTGTATGATTATAATTGCATGAGGATGGTTTTTACATTTTTGCTTACATATAGTGAACCCCACAGTTGGGACTCAGCAATTTTATTGTTTGTAAAAATGAACATAAAACATCACAATATCATTTTGTGCAACACACTCTAGCTAATAAATATTATACATGTACAAATATAAATATAACCTCAGTAAGATCACCTAGCAGAGCAACATTGCTGCTAGTAAATAGCAATGTCCTCAAGCTCAGCAGACCCCTGGTTCCTCCAAGGATGATGAGGTTAGCAAGCCAGAAGCTTAACTTTGTGAGCCTGCAGATGCCCCTGCCACAGAGTGTGTGAAGATGTATAAGGCAGGAACTGATGCCTTGCCCATATCCATATACCTGAAAAGATATTCTGGCTCCTGAAAGCTACCCTAGAACCATGGGTCTGAAAAATACCAAAAATTAAGTTGCCTTCTGTGAAGAAATAGTTCAACACAGGATATGTTAGATCATGGGATTACATTATTTCCTTGTTCCATTTTTGTTGGCAAACATATTTGAACCTGACTTCTGTAATTGGAGATTCTGTAAAAGGAGATTGCTGCTGGAAGTTTGCACCTTAGAGTTTTTGTAAGCTGCTGTCACGTAAGATTTCCTCATGTTCTCACCTGCCCAAAACAGAGAAGCATAAAAAATACATCCTGCATATATGCACATATCATCTGTGAGTCCTCTTGACTTCCCTAGTTACTGTTAATGCTTAGCAGAAAGTTCTGCACTTTACAAATTTACAAATTCTGCAGGACACCAACACCCAGACATTTGGTTTTGAGGTCAGTTATGTCAAAACAGTGTCTCTGTCTTGCAGTGGAAATATAGATTTTAATACCAGGAGATGGATTTTGTTTATACCTTCTTCTGCTGTCACCACATGGAGAACTCCTTGTGGAGAAAGAACCCAGGCAGTCCATTTGCATTGGACTTTTTCTTTGATCAGTCCCTTTGTTCACAGAGGATATGGAAAGGTCTTTACTTTTGATGATTCAGTTACTCTTTGAAGTATGAGAAAACTCTTCTCATTATCACTGGTGCACTGAGCACGTACTCTCCATGTTTTTTCCTCGTGGCTCCCTTGTGAGCCCTCCAGCTCCTTTTTTCCAAACACACCAGTTCAGCAGTAGGTTCCTGTACCTTTTACAGGTAATCAGATCCCAGAACTCTGTCTTGTCCTGGACTGGAAACACATAGCACTCTGCACTGCAGAGTCCTCCATAATTTGTTCAAATGAACTGGATAGAAGTCATGTATTAATCTTCTGATGTAGAAAGACTGAAGAAAAAAACAATATAAACATTCAGCTTTGACTTCCCTCCTCCAAGAATGTCTCCATTTGCATCAGAGTCCCCTTTTCTCACTCACTATACAGTGTAATCTGGGACAATTTCAAAACTCTTCAGGATGTTGCTTTTTCTCTTCCTCCCTTACAAAATCTCATGTTCACACAGACACTTCTTCAGTTTACCAGGTATCCAAATCCTGTTCCTGTTATGCCACAGCTGCAGAAAAAATCATGCCAGGGAAAACAAAACCACCTTAAAATATTGGTGTCAGAAATGCAGTCATTGTTCCTGTGTCTCCCAGGCTTATTCATGTTCAGAGCTTTCAGGTCCAGCCCACTCTGAATTAGAGAGCTGTGGAGATGTCTAAATGTTCCTCCTCAGTTAAAGACAGGTTTTTCTTTTCTCCAGGGAAGACCTTCATTTGGGAGTTCACAAAACAGGAACGGCAATGTCAGATCTCTTAGTTTTGAGGCTGTATCTTCAGGAGAAATACCTTTGCTGGATTGTGTGGTTCAGGACTCTGTGCTCAATTGCTGCTTCTGCTTTTAAGATGCAAACCACATTCTTGGCCAAACCAAAGCCTGTGTCTGTCTAGGCTCTGGAAGACCCAGGGATATCTTGTCTGTCTGGAAGTACCAGCCTCTGCCCTCTCTTCTCCCCAGGCATATGGCAAGTGTTTATGGTGAGAGGATTCCTGTTAATGCTTTGTGTGGGGAAAATCCAGCCTTCTCTCCTCTCAGGACTCTCAGCTGTGCTGAGTGAACAGTGCCATGATTACAGATCATACTCAGAGATTTCACTCAGCTGGAACAACAGAAGAGAAAAGGGTGGCCGCTCCTCTTTCCTCTGAGCAGGGGAGAGAAGAGAGAGGAAGAACATTTTTGTCAGCTTGCGAGGAATGGCAAGGTTAGCAAGGAAAAACTTGTGAAGAAACTGAGTATTAACTAAAATACAATCTATCTCTATAGAGAAAAAGGCAATGGAAGAACCAGCTTCCTTCTGTGCAATGTTTCTTTTCTATTAGCAGTGAATTTTGTCTCGTGGACACTAAGTACCTTCTAATGGCTTGGCTGTCATTTTTACCATCACTGTTAGAACTCAGCCCCACGGATCTGCAGCTTTCTTAGGAAGGAAACTTTTGAATTAACTTGAGTTAGGTGCACTACATGGGCTCCTTAGAGAAGTCAATGCACTCTATAGAAACAGCAGATTAAATAAAAGGCAGAGACCAG